CATACACAGACAAAGGACTTTTGGGTTCAGATACCTTCAAAGACCTCTTGGCAACTGCTACTGATGTATTTGACTACGTCCCTAAGATTGGCACCGAAATTCACGGGGTTGATCTAGCAAACCTCACTGATGCTGCTAAAAACGATCTTGCTCGACTAATCTCCATCCGAGGGGTCGTCTTTTTCCGCAACCAAAAGAACTTTGACATCGAAGCACAACGCAAATTGGGTTCTTATTTCGGAACACTGCATAAGCATGCAACTACTTCCGTGCCTAAACGCGGAGATCTGGACGATGTTCATGTCGTATACACGGACGAGAAATCTAAAGACCAAAGAGCACTTTTCACACCTACATTTCTCTGGCATTCAGACGTAACATACGAGATCCAACCACCCTCCTACACCTCACTTAAAGTTCTTACCGGACCACCCCGCGGCGGCGGCGGCGACACATTGTGGTCTTCCCAATACGCAGCCTATGATGCGCTCTCCGCGCCCATGCAAAAGTATCTCGAATCCCTCACCGCACTGCACACCTCTCATCTCCAAGCCGAAGGCTCGCGGGCACTAGGTCGACCTGTTCGACGCGATCCCATTATTACTGAACACCCACTCATCCGCTCACATCCTGTTACGGGATGGAAATCACTTTTCTTCAACCCTGGTTTCGTGACCAAGATTGTCGGAATCCCTAAAGTTGAAAGCGATGTTATTCTCGCGTATCTGAATGAAGTTGTGGCGACGACGCAGGAGTTGCATGTTAGGTTCCAATGGGGAAAGGATGATGTGGCGTTTTGGGATAACAGAATTTCAAATCATACTGCTTCGTATGGGTTCGCGCCACATAGGAGACACGCAGTTAGAGTGTGTTGCCATGGGGAGAAACCTGTTTTGGAGAAGGACGCAAGGAGTCAGGAAGAGGAGTTGGGGGAGAAGTATGGATTGCCGGTTGTGAACAAGGATGGGAGTGGCCAGAGCAATTATAATGATTAGGAATTGATGGCTAGAGAACGTGTATATAGATATTTGCATTCGGCATGGAGTTCGGGAACTGGGATAGGGGGTCAGAGATGAGGAGTTCTTCTGCAGCGTGGAGCGGCATATGCATGGTAGCTTGCTGCATTTTTAGGGTTACCATTTAAATTATTTGATAGCGGATCAGAATTTATAGAATTCTCATACACAAGAATAAACATAACCATTTTACTTACATCATTCCAAAATTTAATATTTGAACATCACGCAACGACTTTTAAATATTCTCCAAATATGGACCACCATCATGGACTTGGACTTACTGAAAATGATTTACGAGTCACTTTACTGGGTGCGAATCTCTATTCTCACAAGTTTAACACATTAAATCCAATTCGAAAATAGTACATTAGGTTTCATTTTTGGTATCTCCAATCAATTTCATACTTTGCTTTACGTTAGTTTTCTCGTGCAAATGCCGACGTGAATGCTACGCCTAAGTACGAGCACATAGCCCTCGCAATCCAAACTCCCAGACGCCACCCGAATCAATTTCTAATCTCTCTTGGAACAGATTCTCCGGCCTACCCAACTTTATATACACCCATCCTTTAATAAACACCTCCTCTCCCCCTCACACTGGCTCCATTAACACTGCCCCCAAACCCTGTCGGCGTTTCGCCCCTCCTATCCCTATCGCCAGGGCCCGTGAAACTCCCAAGTTGCAATGCTTGAATACTTTCTCTACTCGCGCCAATCTTACCAGCCACCAGTAGAATACTCTGTTCAAATTCTACAAGTGCCAATCCCAACTCTTGGACTTGGTTTTCTTGTTGATACGCTCTTCCGTTCCTGCGCGCTAGTAAGGCTTGAGTTTGTTGCGCTGTGCTTTGTTCCAGGCTTCTTAGATGCGCTTCTAACTCAGTGAAATTGTTCTGGTACTTCTTCAGCGTCGCGTCTAGTTCATCGGCGGTAGCGGAGAAAAACGACACCAAATCTTGGGCATCAGTGTCATTGGCTGCATTATTGGGATTGTTCGTAGATTTAGTAGCCCAGATGCCAGGGGTCTGATATTGGGTTGGCAATTTTTGATTGTCAATTGCGCGGAAACTTAGAGTAGCATTATCCGCGTCTTTCTTTATCAATTGTCGAACCTGGTCGATCTCCGTGGCGTCGCGTTCCATGGCTTCCTCCATACCGAGTAATTTCCTCCGGCAAAATTCTACGTCGTTAGGAATGTGCTCAAGAAGCTTGCCATGTTGGGGCATGATAGCATCGCAGTCGTTTTTCATGGCTATTTGAGCTTGAATTACTTGGTCAAAGTGTTCGATTTGTTTCTGTACGGTTTCGTTAAGGTCGTTGAATCGTGTCGTGCCGCGCATTTGGCTAAGGTCAATTTGAACGCCTGGAACAAGTTGAGGCTGTTGGGATTGACCCAAGAAACGACTACCCCCAAGCATATTGTTATTTGTTTGGCCTTGTGGTTGATTTTGAGCTGGTGCGCCGAAAAGAGAGGAGGTTTGCTGTGGTTGGGATTGAGTTTGAGTTTGAGTTTGTTGACTTGCGCCACTAAGCTAGTTAGTTGATGTATCATTATTTTTTCTTCGCGATGGTCACTTACAAGAGACCTCCAGATGCTGCAGGTTTTGCTTGGTTTAAATTTCCAAATAATCCACCTCCATTCTGCGCAGGTTGTGACGAGGCAGTGCCACCAAATAATCCACCACCTGTATTTGCGCCAGTTGTCTGATTATTAGGTTGTGCTCCCCCAAGTCCACCACCTGTAGCTCCTTGAGTCTGATTATTGTTAGTGGTCGCAGATCCGAAGAGCCCGCCCGTTGCAGGAGTAGTCGTCGCGGCAGTCGCTGAACCAAATAATCCACCTCCAGTTGAAGCCGGTTGAGAAGTATTGGCGTTTCCGAACAATCCACCAGACGCAGGCTGAGTAGGAGCGGCTCCAAACAATCCTCCAGTCGCCGGCGCAGAGGTTGCTGCTGCGGGAGCTGAGCCAAATAAACCACCGGTAGCAGGAGCAGCTGAAGTTGTTGAACCAAATAATCCACCAGATTGAGGAGCAGATGTAGTTGCAGGTGCGCCGAAAAGACCTGTCGAAGGCTTCGCAGCCTGTGTACTTCCAAACATTCCTCCTGATAATGGCTGTGTCGTTCCTGATCCGCTACTGAATGAAATGTTAGAATCGCTCTTTCTTTGTTTCGCTCAATGTTCTTTCTCTCTTCATGAAATCTTTCACAATGAATTATTTTGATAGCTTTCCCTTTGCTCCACAAAAAGCTTGGGTAATGAGTTGGTTGACACGACAAAATAAATAAACCTTCGAATTGGGCAATTCAATTGAATAATTCACTTACAATAAAGAATTAGCAGAATTGGTATTGATACTTAATCCACCTGGACCAGAGAAAGATCTTGTTAAAGCCATATTGAAATAATCCTATCGTTGTGATTTTTCTTGGAGATGATATTTAGATAAAATCAAAGAATAATAAGAGAAAACTTTAATAATTTTCCAGGGCCATCTCGTCCTGAAACTTAAGCCTGAACGCGTCTAATATTCACTAAGACTAAGGCGGCCAGGCTGTTGTGTTACAGTACATACCATACCTATTTACCATACCTAGCTAGCTAGGTCGTATCACGACAACTATCAATCCCAGAAATAACAACACGGACTCTCAATAGAGCCTCAATAATCAAAATGGATATCGATGAAGACGATGATTTTTATGCGCCCGAAGAGAGTGCGCCACTTTCTTTAAACCAAGTCGCTCCAACAGAAGCTGCGCAGCCTGAAGTCAAAGCCGAACAACAGGATGAAGATTTAGAGGAGGGTGAGGAGGAAGATGAGGACGAGGATAGTGACTCGGTATGATATGGTTACCTCCGAAGCTCTGCTTAGCTTTTGCTGATATGGGTGCAGGACATAGATATTATCACAGAAAAGAAAGATGGTGCTCCGCCGTCCACAAAGCCTCAGTATGTTTTGCGCCCAGCTCATAGTGCTCAGTATTAATGTCATAATAGAGGCACAAAATATGATAAATTGCCCGGCAGTGATCTTCCAAGCCATACAAAATCCACGACCGAAGCAGATGAGAAAGCTCCCGCCGTGAAAAGCGAAAAAACAAAGAAGGATTCCGATACACCAGCGATATCTGGTGCAGAATTACCCGGACTGGCGATATCAAAAATTGATGTAAATGCAAAGCCTATGTATGAGCCAGCCGGAAAACCAATCACACAAATCAATATCGATGAAGGTATTTAACCCTCTTTTACTTTCTCGCAAGTTATTCATGTAATTAATCTTTGCCCATTTAGATCTCAACGAAAACGACAAACCTTGGAGAAGACCCGGTACCGACATATCTGATTACTTCAACTACGGTTTCGATGAATTTACCTGGGCCCTCTACGCCAACAAACAAGAATCATTGCGCTCAGAATTCGACCCCAATAAAATCGCACAGAATAATAAGAAAATGTTCGAGGATATGAATATGATGATGGCTATGGGTGGAATGCCAGGAATGCAAGCTGGAGGCGGCATGCCTGGGATGGAGGGAATGACACCAGAAATGATGCAGCAAATGCAACAGATGATGGCAGCGAGTGGAATGGATCCTAGCCAGATGGACCCCTCGATGTTTGGAGGCTCCAATTCGGCGGGAGGTGCGGGGGGGTTTGGAGGAGGTCAATTTGGTGGTGGAGGGTTTGATCAGGGCATGATGGGATCTGGAGGTGAAAATACTAATAGGGGAGGTTTTGGAAGAGGCAGAGGTAGAAGAGGAAGAGGAAATTGGTAAACATAATGATATACCTCAAAGGTCATATCTCTAAGTTTGATGAGGCATCTTAGTCGAGCCGAAGTATACCCAGAAATTGTAAAACAGAATCAACTTTGAAAAGGGGCTTGAAAGTCAAGCTTCCCTCGAAGCGAACACGTGATGGTCAAGTGTGAACAGGTTTGTTTTTTGTAGGTCTTCTACCAGTACTTTTTATGGCTTATGGGAATGATGTTTCCAGTGTTATGGTGTCATGGTAGTAGAGGTACAAGATTGCACATTTAAAAGCTTCGTTTGTCATAGCATCAAGTAATGGAATAAAATTTTCTCTTTGAGTTATTGTAATTATGATCTGCACTCTGTTGGTTCTCGTTACGGTCTGCTTTATTGGAGTTTTGGTGTTATTTTCTGCTTTGGGGTATTGAATATTGATAGTTGCTGCGCGCTAAAACGAAGAAACATGCACGTCTTGTCATGGTACAGGAATGTTGTAGTATTGATGTTCCAAGCTTGTAATTTATATTTGCCCTGGTACCTTGTATTGCACAATGCCCTTAATCATTATGACCATCTTCCGCTTTGTAAACACATAACAGTAGCATGGTGGGCTCGTATTTTGAAGTCAACGGCGATCCTTCGGTATACTGTTGGGACTTGCTGAGGGAGCATAATTTAGGTATTGATGATGCATCCCTGTGGATTTGCGGAGGCACAAGACTTCGGGTGTTGTTGTGTTGGCTATCTGCAAGTAGTGATGTGATATCAAAAACACCTATAAAGCTGTTAGAATCACTGCCACGTAGTTTAGTTGTGGAATCGAAACGGAGCATGTACGCCTGTACCAACTTTGGCGCACTTCTATCAAAAGCCAGTGGCACAACCGCTCTTATTGTGCACTCAATTCTAGATGTGACTCTCAATTGCGGAGTACAATAAGCGTGCCAAGGGCTATCGTTTGCAATTGACAGTCGAGACTTGTATCGTAGAGACCTACTGTTGAGGCGCGTACTTTCCAAGGTATAGTGGAGCAGAATATGGCATTGAGCCCGAGTATTCGAGACACCCGAGTAGCCTTCCTTCTCCTTATTCACAATCTTCTCTGAAGGACTGCCAATAGTTGCGAGATACAAGAGGCCTTCGGCTGTCTTTGATAGTGATGTTCCGCTCCAAGCGTACACTGTTGCAGCAATCTCTTCCTCCTCAGCCTGCCTTACGCCTTGACTCTTCTTTACAATTTCGTGTTATATGAATGCACCGGCAGCAGATGTCGTTGATTTCGTGGATCCGTTCTTGTGATTGTTGGAGGTTGCAGTTGACTGGAAAAAGCACTGATTAGCAAAATCCATTGTGCCCCGTATGTCCCTCTTGACCCGCTCAGGATCATACTCGCCGAATTTATTTATTGTAATGAAGGGTAGTATTTGATGTCAAATACAAAGCGCTGATCATTGTTGCTGCCAACAGGCTTTGTGTTTAGTTGAGAAAGTTGGTAGTGTTGTGTTCAACAATTCTCCAAAAGACTTTCAAAACTCTTGAGGTCTGCTAAGCAGGCTGAGACCTTCTGCTTGAGATTGATTGATCATAACAATCAAAAGTAAAGCCTGAGTCAGTGTGTAAGGTTATAGACATTAAATAGTATAATTTTAATGTCTGTTATGAAGTTGCTATGGTTTACACCAATTGCAAAGAAAGTGGTTCATGGGTGTGGTGGTTAACTTTTGGTCTATTGAGCAAGAACGTGGTCTATGGAATAAAACTTAGTATATCATAATATTTGGACCTTGTTCTTGGTGTTCTGTCAGAGCTAGTTGCAAGTTTTGAAAGATTTTGAGATTTTGAGATGAAGTGTTGATTGAATCCGGAAATGCATAGGTGTATACTATCATAAGTCAGACAAAACAAAGAGACATTGAGTCAAATAAAAGTGTTTTAGTGAACTTGATTGGGATAGATAAAATCCTTACAGTTATAGTGTAATGTATAAAGAATTTCTGGACAAATTAGTGAGCTCAGAGATGAAGTCACCTTACAAGCTCAGGCTCGGGGTGGACGACATGGTCCCAAGCATTACTTTGATTGAACCAAAGGCATATTCACCCTCAAATAACACTCTTTAAAAGCATCTACAGTTTATTCAAGTCAATTTCTACGTGTAAGAAGAAGCTGTTATGCTTGGAAAGGCTAGTTACTGATCCAAGATTATCCTTAATGAAGCAAATACAGAAGAATATATCTTCAGAGTTGAATTGCAGCTTCCCAATGCCTTCAATAGCAAGTAGAATAGTGTAGATAGATTATATATATCCCACAAAGGATCATTAGTAGTGAGATGCTATGATATATTCCATCCAGGAAGCCTATGATTAGACCGGGAGTAGGTACCAAAGCGTGACCTGTAGCCCGCTCTCTCAAAGAGGCTTAGGATTGAAGGAAGATCCCTGCAAACTTGGAGGCTAGGCTTCTCTCGTAGATTTGGGCAGCTTCCTGCCAAGTATCTCCACACAAATAGTTGCTTTCTCTTTCTTCTTTCCAAAACACCAACAACCAAAACAACAAAACACCAAAAACAATCGAAAATGGACATAACAACCCTTGGAAAGCATCAAAAAAGTAAGTCACATTGATCAAGTTCTACCTATATTTCTTGCAGAAGGCACTTCTATCGATTTAACCATAATTCGACGGCTCTACCTGCAAAATCAGTGTGAAAAGCATGGCTTTCGCACCAGTTGCGTGCACAGCAGATACCGAGATATTATCTCATCAGGCACCTACCTTAAGCAATCACTATACAACTTAACATAGTCACATAGTTCTCTTTGATGGAAGGTTACTGACTTGAATTGATATAGGTACGCTTCTACTTTGCGAACAACCCACCTTCGTGAAAGATCAAACTGACCAGGTCATCCTCGCCGCCAACAGACTTAAAAATGCAGTGAGTTTCATCCTTTTTGCTTCTTCTATCTTTATCCCGTGCGATATTCCTACTACTTGAAACAGTTTTTTGCCTGTTGCTGACCATGTTCACAAACAGGTGAGCATCTTCCATTACTCCCGAGTTTTCGCAAATACCAATTCCAGTTGTTGGCCTCTATCTTCCTCCAAACGTGTACGTTCATCTTCCTTGTGGACCATAGTGGTATTGTCTATAAAGTTCCAATAGTCGACATAATGTCGTGCTCTAAATAACGCTCTCTCATACTGCCGACCTCATATACGAGAAGACTTAAGCACGGCAGCTCGGGTGTTCTTCCGTTTGCCTTTACTTTATCATCCTCCTGATTTCTGTCAATGTAGCATGCTCCCGCTTTCATTGAATATTGCTGATTTTGAATTCCCTGCAGCCTCTTCTCATCAATCGGAACGTTAGATCTTGATAGTTGTAAAACTAATCATGGTCTCCAGAAAGCACTAAAAAACATTAAAGTCATAGAATAGCAACAAAACAGGTAAGTGAAAACCTCCTTACAACCTTTACCGGCCTATTTATGGCAATAAAATGACCCCGTACTAACGATTTCTAGTGGCCCCTTGACTGGGGCAACTCAATGCCATTTTAACCAGGGTATGAAAAACTTTCCATTATATCGCCTCCACTCGTACAGAAGAAATCATGACTCCTATCTCTGTTCAGTGCGGGCACGATTCTTGTCAAGACGCCTGATGAAATAAACTCAGGTGGACTCTAGTATAACCAAACCGACTCACATTTAGTGTGCATTTAGCTTCAATTCGAAGCCAGGTATCACAATTTGGAGCTTACATTGAGGTAGCGGGGATTGAAACTTCGACATACTTCCTTGAGAATTCCCTCTTCAACATGCACATGCGCTATCCGCTTGTCTTCTTGAATCAAAAACATGGCCGGTACACAGTTATTACTGGATATTGGTGAATTTGAGTGATTCTGGAATTGTCGCTAACGGTCTCCCTCATCATCTAGTATCTATTTAAGCTCCCCCTCGATCAACGGAAAATGCCAACAAGAACCTTTAGTGTTTAGTTGAAACTTTATGCCTCCAGCGTGGCATGGGCTTCGGCCTTCATAAAGGTATGCCCAGCTACAGCAGACTTCTTTCTCCGCAGAGCTATATCTTCGGTTCATGTCTTCCTTTTCGTCATTTTCCTTCTATGTTGTCGCTGTCACTGGAGCATGTTTTACGTCGGAACTTCCGAGCTTCATTCTCACTTCACAACCATGAAATAGTTAATGACCTGTCCCTGGTCTATATGGTACTTCTGTATCATATAAAGTAGTGTCATACAAGTCTGTTGTCCGTTGAACTTTGATACTGGCAATCATTGGTGGCTGAAGTCTCTCGCTATCCATATTGCTAACTTCACTTGAAGTAATCACTCTGTTTCTCCTTATTAGTATTGGTGATCATTCTGGTTGCTATGGATGTGAATATACGTTGTCAATTGGCTCTTAGTGGTGATATTTATGCTTGCTGCATGCAACCAACCGTAATGTTTGGCATCCGCTAGTATTTGCCGCTTGAGAACGTCAGGACTTTAAGTCATACTAAGTAGAGCTCTGTCTCATCTACTGATATGTCCGTTACAGCTTGTGTGTGAAAGCTCAACACATGACCAGATGATCGCAATCGAAGAAGGGACTTGCAGATGAAGTCGGCCTGGTCTATACTCAATTGTTCATCACCTCTATCAGGATATTTTGAATGAAGACAAAATCAAGAAAGTCCTTCTGTCATCAAATTTTCAATGGTTCATTGAGTTCCTCATCAAATACTGGTGAACAATCTATAAGTTCTTAACAGGATTTGTGAATGAAACCACATGTTACTGTGAACCTTGGTTGTATCGTATGACCAAGACTCTAAAAGAACTGATCAATAAATGCTTGTGTTATATATGACCATTACTTCTATTCTCACGCAAGTGCATTCGCCGTGTAACTCCGGACTCTCTGAATTCCTTATATAAAGTTATGTAATGTATTTATTTTGGGCGTTTGCTACCATAAAAGGCACTGAAATGTACGCATTTTTTCTTAAAGTATAAGCGTACCAAAGATAATACTATCCATGTACTGTATCGCCTGATGATTGGAAAGGTTCATTCACGTGGGCCCACTTTTCTATTCAAAGAAATTGTGGAAAGGGGTTCAGACGAGAATTCAATACAGTACAATCACTGTATCCCAGGGCAACAGGCCACTCTTTTTTGATTGGAATCACTACCAGTATCTATTTCTCCCATTCTAAGTGGCTCATACAAATCACTCAATATCTCATCACCTCGATTTTCGTACGGGCTGTCTTCTAAGCTTTGAAGTTCTCTAATCAACCAATACGGCTCCTCGCTTGATTCATTTCCCTCTTAAAATCAGCCTCCATTCACAGTTTCAATTCACTTAAAGATATTTCTTGATCACATTGACTTGGTATCCACTTTATTTGGGTTCTCTTCTCGACTCCGCTTCCTTTCCCTTGTTTTTAAAAACATCGATTACCCCGCCTGATCCTACTTTCGGACTCCAACTTCCTGAGATTCTACAACCTCTTTCCTTCAATCTCACATACAACTCAATACAAGCAAAAACAATACAAGTTTCATAAGATATTTTCTTGTCGTTACTTCTTTACTTGCTAGTTTCTTTCTTGTCTAGTTCTCATACCACACCATACTTCCCTTAAGACAATCAACACAAGTTGTCGTATTCAGACTTATTTCTGCACTCTTTGATCTGCAGATACTCAAGAACAATTTCAATTTCGCACACCAGCGTGTAGTTAGTACAGTATTTCATTCATTCATACATATTCTTTCATATTGAAATATTTACTCTTACATTTTTTGATTTCCCACGCAAGAATAATTCACCTTCAAAAAATATTGACTAACTTTCATATTCATTTCCAGAAGATGGACCAAGACGACAATGGTTCCGAGTACGGTACCAGCGGGTACCCTGAGGAGCACGTCCGACCATCAATGTCGTCAGCTCCTCGGGGCCCCCCTGGTCCGTACCGGGCCATTTACTCAGACCTGAACGACATGCAAGATACCAAGCGTCGTCGAATTGATGAACGCATGGATGCAGCCTATGAGGAGGGACGCTTGAGTGGCGCTCCGGTTGACCCTGCCGATCAGCGAGAATTCATTAAAGACTTGTTCGATGCATTCAACTCCGTCGAAACAGAGGGTGATGACGCAATTATTGACAAGCCGACCAAACACGGCAGGTTGTCGCAAGCAGCCACTAAGTTTAAGGAAAATCGTTACCCCGCATACGCGATTGAGGAAGTTTGCTGGGAGATTTTCGTAAGTAGACCCCCTATTATCTTTAAAGCCTCGCTCAGTTCAGAATACTAATGAAGAAATCACAGGACAAGGCTAGAATTGTACAAATGGATGTGAAGCTCTTAGAAGCATTTCACGAGTCAAAGTTCGAGGGACCAATGATCCACACCTCGTTTGGTCAACGCTGGACAGCTATTTGTGGCGCCTGCACTGTGAGTATGCATTCAATGCCCCAAAAAAATAATCTAATATATTTCGTAGCGTTCAAAAGCCTTGTGCAAAATGCTGTTGGACGCTCCATACCTCGACCGTTTCGTTAGTCATCCACAGGGAGAGCTGAAGGTAAACAATTTTATCCTTTCCTATTTTCCTATCTTTGTACTATTGCTGACATACAAAATTTAGATGAAGCTAAACAACAAAAAGATCAACGCTCAGCGCGATGCTCAGAACGAAATTGGTCGTCAATTCTTGAGCAAAGGCGTCGGACCCGAAGCGGCGGCCACAGCTTTAGCCAAATTGCTTCCTGAAGAGGCACAACCATATGACAAATATGCCCGCTTCAGCCCTCATCAATCTTCTGGAGGTAATGCAGCTGGTCCAAAGACACCAATAGCCCCAGTTCGCATTCAGCCTACTCGATCAGCTGTTACCAACTCAGCCAAGCGCAAGAATATGTCAGAGTCGGAGGACGAAGATGAGTCCGAGGAAGACGATTACATCGACTCAGCAGTCAGATCCAATGCCAGACCAACTCTTCGAGGTCGCCGAGCAACTCTCAAGACCCCTACACGATCCAACACCAGCAACTCTGTAATGAGCAAGACTCCACAAACTAAAAAGACCAAGGGACAACCGACCGATACACGCTCACGTCTCATCAATACTAAAACACCTGTCAAATCACAGGAAGTAGTGGAAGCCGAAGCTGAAGATGATTATAAGAAGACGGTTTGTCGACTTCTTGGTCTTGACCCCAGGAATGCCAAGGTCATGGCTTATAGCCTCGAGGATCTCAGATGGTATGCGAGAGCATACAATGTCGACTATATGGAAACTGTATGGTCGCATCCACAATGGCCTGATTACAAGGGTCTCGGACACGTTCTTAAGGATAAGAATGATAACCGTGTGGACCACTTTTCTATCATCATCAAGTCGTTGATGCCACTTGCTAAGCTGCGGGGAGATTACGTCGACGGTAAATTGATGCCACACAGAAATAGGACCTTCAAGCCCAAGTCACAAGAAGATCGTATGGCGCTTGGTTCTGCTATGAATGCTGTTCGTTTTCACGCTGGATATCCTGCTCCCGTCAGTATCGAGTCTCATGGTACCCCACAAATGATTGCAGAGAACATCAATTTCAAGCCCCAAGTACGTCAGCCCGTTGAATATCAACAATTCGATCACGGTTACTATCAACGTTCAAGTGCATATGATCGATCTGCCTCACAGTATCATCCCTACAGCCATAACCGTTCTCAGCATGCCAGCCATCCATCTCAGCATGTAATTCATTCACCTCACTTAGCTGCTTCCACCAGTAGGGGCTATAATGATGGCTCGTTTCAACAAGGACATATGGGCAATCAACAATCATTCACTTCTCACCCGAGCTACAGCTTCAACACTTTTGGTTCTAATCCTCAAGCCGGCACCATGTTCAATGATGGTCTTGGATTCTCTGGTCCGACCCAAACTAGCTATGCCACCTCTTTCAGAGGTCAGACCCCTAGCTATAATCATAATCATACTGTCCCAAGCAGTCCTTACACCACCCCCCAGCTTGGACATAATGTTGGCCTTGTCTCACAAAGTCCACATTTACCCAGTATTACCACTCAACAAAGCGATAGCACATACCCAGACCCTGAAGATTGCTCCAATCAACAAAACTCGCAATAGATTCAAGGTTCAATTTTCAGTCATCGACTAGTCTTTAGCTGGAATTTGCTCTCTTCATTCATCAGACTTTTGGTCCCTCAATTGCATTCTGGATCCTTCGGGTCTATCACAGACAGTAACTCGTCCAGATAGCTTCGTTTTAGTGCGGTTTTGCACTGCTCTCGACGCATTCTTTTTTTCACTTTTCATCTTCCAATCTACGGGCTTCATTTTACCTCGACTCGATAATATCAGAGCGTTCAACATATAACGAGTCACTGTGTATACAGCAACAGCGCCATACATACACTTCTTTTTGTTTCTCCTGCTTCTTACAGGTTATTTTTGCGGTAACTTGATTCTATGGGTTCAGATATCGACTTATTTGACACCATACGTGTATTTCTTTTACCCTCTACCTCCGACTCACGCAATATTTACTAATATCTGTATCATATGAGCTCCAGTAGCTAATATGTTACTTCTCGCAAAAGAGATATTCTTCGTTTGTATTGTGCCACCCACTCTACCGTCTTGCATGATTTCATTCGACCATTGGACTCACCAAGCTCCAGTGTCAATCGATTCATTGACGCCTCTTCAAAAGCTCTTTTCATATTTTCAACTGCAAGGTGAATGGATACACCGCAGCATAGATACATTCAGTATCACGCATACAGCGGAGTTGTCGGAAAACGATACCCAGGGAGTTTTCACAGTAGTTCGCATTCGCATAGCATTCACGACATTTACGACACTTTTTCTGGTACTGGCATGGTTCTACAATCACGGGCATTACATTTAATGTGTTGGCGGTCTTATCTCAGGTTCTTCAGAATATAAGGCATAGCGATGGAGTTGGGAAAAGATACCCTTGAAAGCGTTCTTCACGGTTCTTCAGCGGGATATTCAGTTTTCTTTTTACTTATCATGGCCTTTCATTCATGAGACATTAAATCCGCGCCCTTTCTCTGTAATTTAATTTTCTTTCTTTGGATCGTTGTTCCAATTGCTTGCAATGATGACTTTCCTGTATTCTAGCTTTACTCTCTTTTGTCTACGACCCTTCGAGGGCTTCAATCTTTAATGGGACTATGGATTCTCACCAATTTGATGTGCATACTTGAATTCGTGATATGTGAATTGATGAAGGTGACTCTAAGGAATTGAATGGTGTTAATTGACTGGAGTGTATTCATAATGACTCGCCAAAGGATTGCATAGGTGTGTTGAAGTCAAGCTAGCCGAGTTGAATGAATGGTGATGACCTCTGATCTATTTATTATCTCTCTTCACATCGTGGTACTCGTTTAGACGAGCCAATATTCCCTGGATCCTAATGAATACTGCAGGATAAACCACACGATAGATCCCCGTTACTTTCTCTGTGCACAAACTTTACACATGGTAGTTTCATGCTTGGAAAGTTTTCATCATAGTAGATTATACAGGGCTAACTGACAAGGTATCTTAAATCTATACTATTCCACCAAAAGTCTATCAACTCTGTACATTCTATCGCGAGGCATCTATATGCAAGTCTAAGTAACTCTCTTCTAGTTTACCAAAATCCCATATCTTTCATAGGGGAAGTTCTCTAAGGTCTCCAAGTAATCACCCCATCCATCTCCCACCGTACCAACAACACCATCTTCTTTCAAGTTCCCTCCTTCTCCCGTCGATCCTGCCAAAACTTCTCCTTCTCTCCCCACAAACTCATTCTTCAATTCCGGGTGCGGACACCACACTACTCTCATTCCTGCTCTCCTCCCACTTTCTACACCTGGCACAGAGTCCTCAAATACTAGACATTCTTCCGCTTTCACGGGCTCCTCTCCTTCTTCTAAACTCTGGTTTATAGTGTCCAACGCTAGTCGATAAATATCCGGAGCAGGTTTACCACGTCCAGGTCCAATTCGTGGATCATCACCTAGAACTTTTCGATGCGAAGGAAAGACTTCGAAAAGTGTTACGTGATTCATAGTTTTGGCATCGTACATCTCCTTATGACTACTCGTCGCTAGGGCAATATGTAGCTTCCTTTCCTTCTCTCCTTCCTTTGCTGCTGATCTTGCGTTCTTTAGTTCTTCTAAGAGTTTCGTTACACCAGGTAACGGCATACAGGTTTTAAACAACTCCCGCTTGAGGGATTCTTGTTCTTCGATGTATTGCTCACGGGAAATTGGGAGGTTGGCCCAGCCAAAGAAAATTTCGCTGGCAGAAGCTGCAGGTCGACCTTGTAATTGTGCTTTTATGGACCAGGGAAGTGGTGGTCTGTTATATTTTTCGAGCAGGGTGTTGGTGACGATAGAGTACTTGTCTTCGGAATCGAGAAGGAGTCCGTCCATGTCGAAGAGACATGCTCGGATTGGGGGGAAGCTGGCATGATGTTAGCCAGAGTTTTGCAGAAGAGGGATACAATTGAGTGGGAAATAAGATTTGGTGAAGAAACCTACTCTGTTCGAGGTGCCATATTTGCAGTATTGTACTACAGCTCTGATGTCAATAGAGTCTAATGAAGCTGGTGTGAGTGAAATGTGGGGGTTAAGATGTTGGCGGGGTAAACGTCACACGCGGTCGGTGCGGCCGATGCGGTATCGTTTCCGTTCGTACATGCTTCACGCCAGCAGACCTTACACAATACACCCCGAAATCAATCATTCATCATGACAACACGTACCGAAAAGTTCCAGCGCAAACCTCGCGACGCTGATGCCGAACCATTAGAGGCTGAGGAGTTTCTAAGATTTTCTCCTGAAGAAGAAGCTGTGCGTATTTTTACACCATTTTGCGATGCGCAACCGCATTCTATTTACTTATTGCTAATGACGTAAATGATAGTCACTCCTCGCCGAATCTAACACGCTAAAGGCCTCTGCCAATACTCTATTTTCTCAGAAATCATACAAAGAAGCCATCGATACCTATGAAAGCGCATTATCGACGTGTCCGAAATATTTAGAATATGAGAGAGCGGTATTGAAAAGTAATGTGGCGGCTTGTCATTTGAAATTAGAGGCGTGGAAGGAAGCTGCCAAAGCAAGTTCAGAAGCTTTAGATGGGCTAGAGAAGCTGCAGAAAGATGAGGCGACGGATAAGAAAGAAGATGAGGATGAGAATGCAGGAAAAGAGAAGGTAAAAGAAGAGGAAGAGGCAGACGAGGAAATCATCAGTGAGGGAGCTACAAAGGCGGAGGATACTAGAGGAAAAAGCATCGGTGATGCGAAAGAGAGTCGAGCAAAAGACATTGAGAGAATAAGAGCGAAAGCTTTGATGAGAAGGGCGAGGGCTAGGAGTGAACAGGACGGATGGTCTACTTTAGCTGGTGCTGTGGAAGGTACAGTTGTTCATCTCCTTTCTTCATTGGCAATGTCTCATGTTGGTGCTCGGAGTCTCGTTCTAACATATTACACCTCGCAATCTAGATTACAAACTCCTTTCAACCTTTACCAACCTCTCCGCCATAGACCGCAAAACAGTTGAAACACAACTTCGTGTTCTACCGCCCAAAAGTAAAGCAGCTCAAGACAGAGAAATGGGCGAGATGATGGGGAAATTAAAGCAGGTTAGTTTGATCAATTCTTGTAAGTCCTATCTCTTCTCGCTCATAAAAGCTTACGATTGGGGATTTGATACTATAGTTCGGAAATGGCATACTGAAGCCATTTGGATTATCCACCGATAATTTCCAGATGGTCAAAGATGAGAAGACTGGTGGGTACAGTATGAACTTTAATCAAGGAGGGGATTCATGATTACGAACATTTGGCCGATACTCAGACTCAATGTTTTGTGGCACCAAGACAGGACCAGAGGTTACACTATAGTCGTCTATCAATCCCGAGAGTAAGTACGTTCGGGTGCATATCAGGCCATTTTTGAGGCGTGCATTCTACATTCTTACACTTCTAAGCAACCGGTATGTACTAGGATACTGGACTCTGATAATGGATTTGCTATACCGTACCTTTACCTATCACAACGAATCCTCCCGGGCGTGCTTTGTGCACCCATTCGATAACAAGAATACAATTTGTTTCACAAGGTCTACACCATGCTTATCTTTACGCTTCATATATCGATTCCACATGATACCCTTTGTTAAGTCCACAATGTCACTTGTATAGACGAATGCGTACCCCGTTGTCTGCTTAAACACTCATACCCGAAAATATTCCCCACGAATCGATACCCCCACATGTTCTTAGTCTTCTCCTTTTATTCGCTTACACAATTGCGACCTCCATCCTGGCCATTTTAAAGTCAATATCACGCACGAAATATGGCCCGGAATGAGGTCAAACCAACCAACTCACTAATCAATACTGCCCTATAATTTCTCCACGATCTCTTACTCTTCTACTTCTTCTTTTCTTCTCTTGTAAGCTAAGGACTAATTGAAAATACGGCGAGTCTCAAGTACACTTCCCTTGTACAAGGTTGGAGGGAAGGAGTCTTAGACACGTTTGTCTTACTGTACCATCGTACAGTATTACACAGATTGCTCATTGTTCCACGGAAGGAGAGCTCATTTCTGACTTGACCTCCGCATTCTTCGTTGATACTTGGAACTCTTTCCAGTTCTAAGCTACTTCCGAGACCGAGACATTATACCCCTCTGCTTCGCGCTACACTTTTGTACGACCCTTCCCCATCTATGAAGTAAAGGGTCAAACCGTCGCGATACACTTAGGTTTGACAATTACAAGGGACATGATGTCGGAATATAAATATCTACTGCATATGCATACATGCACCTCCCTCTATGCACATCACTTCTCTCTCCTATCGAAACATCGCTTGCTAAAAAACCTACAGCAACCCAATTTTACTAGCGGAAAAAACTATTTCATCAATTATATATTTGACTGGGGATTGAAGTGTTCTGCGATGAATCATACAATCTTTAAAATCTTTCTCTATCCATGCTTATTCATAGGCCTTATTTATCTCTCTTTATTCATGGGATAACGTGATTTTACGATTTCATTCCACATCACACACAGAACTGTATCCCATCTTCAAATCAAAGCTATCAAATCTTTATTTTCTTCAAAATACTTTTCTGAATCCGCACTCTTTCCACAATCATGAGATCTAGATCTAGATCCATTTTCCATCCATCATTTCCCCAAATTCAACTCTATATCAACAAACTCTCCCGATCCATCGAAACCAAAAGAACTGAAACCACCCTAATTCCTACGACGTCATAATTCTTCCTCCTTCTTCCAAACGAAACCCCTGACAGCCCCACTACTACCCCCCGGATCATCACATGAAAAAGATCTGTGCGTTTTTTATTTAAATAGGATACCAACTGACCATCGAATTCCACAAATCCCATTATTGAAGTTTTTCGTCCACGGTCTACCATTTTCTCGATTGTACGAGTGCACATATCCAAAGATACATATATACATATAGAGCTACGGAAAAGAGGAAGAGAGAGGAACATTCATAGACAGAATGTCTAACTTCCAACTCCTTACAAAACCAACTCCCATGAGTGGAGAGGCTCACCGCAAATCTCCTTCTCTTTCTTTTACACCCTCTCTGGCGCCCTCTTACTCGACTTCTAAGTTTACATCTACATCCAAATCAACTTCTTCGTCTCCATCCTCCTCATCTTCGGCCCTCCGTCCCACCTTCCGCCCCCTCTACAAAACCCTCTCACTTTCCTACCGATACCCCTCCTCCTCGACCAACAATCCCTCTTCCACAAACGGTACTTCCACTACTTCTACAACTTTTACCATCCTCCTCTCTATCTACAAGTTTATCGATCTTTTGGCCCGACGATTAGCGTTTGAATTCGCGTTGTTTATGTTAGGGGGCGGATTTAATCTCATGCTCTTACTGTTGTGGCCTGGGTGGATACCGGTTTTGGGGGTGGTGGGGGGCTTGTGGTGGGTTTGGGGATGAGGGGTTGGGGAAAGTGGAAAGTGGAAAGTGGAATCTTGGTATTGGGATAGGGGAACGAATGAGTCGGAAAGGGAAACTCATTGCGGATGCGAAATGGGGGAGGCAATCATAGGAAACTTTTGACAAAGAGGGTAAGAACTTGCGCTGATATCATTATGTTATTTTGAAAGCTAATTCTTCGTTTCTATCCAGGTTTCATGTTTCTACCTGTTTGAAGACTTCCACATCGGACCATCTATCTATCCCTCAATTTATTGATCCAAAGCGCTCCAGGTCCCGCAACAATTATACAAGTTCGATAGGCCTCCGCATTTCCAATTCACACCACCAGGACCACGGAGTACTTCCTTAGGAAAAGAAGAACGCATTTCCGCCAGCATCCCTCTTAACTTCGGTCTGGTAGTCCTTCTCAGGTTTAAATTCTTGCCAAACGCTAGCTGGATAGATATGTTTGTTCCTCTCATACCATCTGCGATCCACTACTTTTGTGAAAGTAGGATCATCGCCAAATCCTTCTAGATCTTCGACTTTCGTTGTGGGGGTTTTGGTACCACTGGAAGCGGACGGACGTGAAAGTGGGTTGTAGGATTCTGGAATAGGGGGATCGGTGTCAAGAGGGGTAATCGAGGCGGTAGGAGGCGGTGAAGAACTATGAGGGAAGAGAACTTGGCTATTGGGTCCAAGGGTATGGTTTATGATGAAGTAGTAGAAATCGTAGTGCTAGAAACCAATACAGTGAGCATTATATCCTATACGTATCCAAAAATTCAAAGAAAAGGCAAGACAACTTACATGAGGAATAATCAAACCCCCTCTAACCAACATCAAATCATCTACACCGACTCTCGCCCACTCTCTATTACTGTTCGCCTTCTCTCCAACCCCTAGCTCGGCTCCAACTTTCCTACTCCGATCCAAGAAAACCCAAATGAAATCTCCTTTCTTCACCCTCGCTACTCCACCTGGTATATTTGTCCCATCATAAAACACAAACGGAATCGCAATCTCAGTCCCTTTGACCGCTTCTTGAATTGCTAGAAACTCCTTCCGTAATGATTCTCGCGTTTGCGCTTCTTTCAATAATGCAGATTTAGTCAGCGTTTTAGGGACGAACGAAACGCTAGAATTGACGCCTATTTTCTTTTTCTTATTTGGAATATCTGGAGTTGCGGATCGTGAAGGTTCGGAGTCGGTATTTTCTCCTCCTTCTTCGTCATCGACTCCGAATGATAATTTGGGTGTTCCCGCTTTCTTTTTCTTTTTCTTCAGGGGGCCGGATTGAGAATCGGTGGGCGTGGAGGCACTGTACTAATGCTATTAGTCCTATTCGCAAGATTTGAAACATACGATTCATCTCGCGCTTCTCAATCTCCCTCTCCCTTATACCCAAGCGCAAAAAGAATAGAAATAAACTCACCCGTCGCCCACAGGTGTACTAGCTCCACTCCTTCCGCTTCCAATCTCGTGCGCATCTCTTTCCTTCATCTCTACCGCCTCTGCTCTGCGTTTGCGAAAATCAGATAGCTTAACCAATCCCACGGTTTGCGTGCTGAGAACATCTTCGACAGTTTTCGATTGCGATGTGAAGCGCGACTGTGGGTTTGGTGTTGTGGTTCGCGATGGAGGTTCGGAGGGTGGATTGGACGACATGTTTATGGGGATGTAAAGTATATTGTGAGGGAAGAATCTGAGACGGTCTGGATCTTAAGAAGATGCTAGGTAAATAGATGGTGACTCGAGATGTGGCTGGGGTATTTGTGGCTGGGATATCTGTGGCTAGTGCTGCACAAAAAAAGAGCTTGGTCTGATGTACCTGGATACATTATCAAGAAAAGTCACGGGATACTCGGCAATGTTATCCGAACCTCCGACGTCATTTGTTGAATTGAATTGACTGATTGAGACAAAGGATGTCACTAAGAACTTGCTTGCAGAGAATGTCACCTATCTACCTTGACTTCTACCTGGCAGAAACAATCTATATCTGCACATACGTACATACTTGGACATACATGCTTGGACATACATACTCGGACATACATACTCGGACATACATACTTGGACATACATACCTGGACATACATACCAAGATGTATGCCAACATGTATGTATGGTGGAATATCTGTCAACAATCCTCTCATTGGCAGATGCCACCTACAATTCGCAATATATCACCAAATAGAAAGGATTTCCCCGGAACCCTTAATGCCAAGAGTTGCAGAGCCGTTAAGAATCCTGAGGGAAAAAACCACTTTCAACATGGTCAACCAGGATTAATCAAGGTTTCTTCTCTTCCTTTCCACTTCTTCGTCTGCTTGCACCAGTTATTTATATCAAATCAGCCTTAAAATCGACAAATTCATGCGTTGCCAAGATTTTAAACATAACTTGGCAAAAGCTTGATCTTCATCCTGGTATTTTCAGCGTCATAATCCTCTCGAGCCCCTCCAATCATCCAAATTCATCGAATCCGAATGCGACCTTATATCAAAAACAGGTAAAAACGCGTGGAAAGAGGAAGAGTAGGTACGAATCCATCACTAAACGTTACTAAAATATTTATTCCGACGTTACTCTAAATAACTTTTTTCTTAATTGACAATATAATAACTATTGACTCGGTCCCCTCTTCTCTCGTCTTTTTTTGCTTCACCATGACATTCTATCAAAATCTTGAAGCCATCGTAACTTTATTTATACAACTTTTTGTGATATTTCCATATAGTGCTTTAACAATTAGACGACAGCGAGAATTGATCCCAAAGGATAAACAATCAATTGAACATACTGCACCTTCCGAAAAGAAAGATTCCGAAAGAAAATCAGGAGCCATGATATCAGATAAAGTTTACAAGCTCTGTACGAGCCAGGAGACGGTCTCCTCATTACTCGCAGAGGATCCTACTATGGCACCGGGTGATGCTTGGAAGCAATTGTATGGAGGACATGCGGCAGGTGAGAAGGAGAGTAAGAACGAAGCTAGGAGACATCGCGATACAATTACACCAGAAGATTTGCAGAGGGCGTTGGAGTGTGGGAATTGGGGTTCATCCCAGCCAAGTGAACTATTTCTAAAGGTGAGAGGTCTTCATCTGATAATTAGAGACCACTGTTAATAATTGGCAGATGTATCATGATGCGCTATGTACTCTGGACAATAGTGTGAGCAATTGTATGGTTAGTCCGCCATTGATGGGAAGTTCAGGTGTTATGCCATTGAGTGTTATTTCAGTGTACGTACCACTCAAGTTTCCCGAAATTATATCGGACGAAATCCCCCTTTTTCAATGGATATTCTAACGAGAGAAAACATTTAGGGTGCCGGATATCATGCGACATATGTCAAATCTAATTGTTCGAGCCGAGAAAGAAGTTATTCTAGCAACAAATTATTGGCAAAATTCGGTAGCCTCGAAATATATTACAAATGCCATGAGGGAGCTTTCTAGAAGAGCTGGTGAGAGGGGTGAGAGGATAGTTTTCAAACTACAATATGACAGAGGAAGTGCGAAACAATTGCTCGACAATCATTACTTCGTTCCGGAGAAGGAATATCTGGGCAAAGCTGTTGCTCTTCCTGCTGCAGAAGATATCCCAAATATCGACCTCCAGGTCATGAACTACCACAGACCTATGCTGGGAACATTCCACTGCAAATATATGGTTGTGGATAGGAAATTTGCTGTTCTCCAAAGTAACAATATCCAGGATAACGACAACATGGAGATGATGACACATTTGGAAGGACCAATTGTTGATTCACTTTACGACATGGCTTTGATTTCTTGGCATAAGAAGTTTGAGCCGCCATTGCCCAGTCATAATTCCCCCGCAGTTCAGGGTGGGCTGAAATCATTTGAAAACAAAGGTCACAATAAAATCTTCGATGAAAATGGAGCAATCAGGGGCCACTCGGCTGTGGTACACCCGGAAAGAATGCAGGTACAATCAGCTTACTCATATGAGCCTCGAGCTTCAAATCAGCCTGATTATATTCGCCCCGAGTCTACAGTCAAGGACAATGTGGCTACAGGTCCTTCAACGACTGAGAGTATTACACACCCCGTTGGAGATACTAACAATGCGGATGACCTTAGCAATGGAGTCAAACAGGTCCAATTAGATGGCGATCAAAATATCCACCATGGATTCGAAGTCAAAGATCTCAAAACTACAGAAATGATGGCCGAGAATGCAAGGGCAATTGCAACAACAGGAGATGCTGAGCATGTTGTTCACACTAAACATCCGGAGAAAAAGGTGCCTGTCTCACCTGAAAATGGTATTCTGGCTCAGCATGGACTTAACGGACCCGACATAGAGACTCAAGAATTTCTGAGTAATGGAACTCAGGTAATTCCTCAATCGCAGATCGAACATCCCTCGCCGTCCGGCAATATTCTCCCGGAACACACCACTGATGACCCTCATTACGACGAAGATATCGCTGGCGAAGTAGCCCGAGTTCAAACCGCTGTATCTCCCAAGAATGGAGAAACTAGAATTGAAGCTGTTACTCGTCATCTCAACCACACCAAAAACCCAGGTTTCAAAGGAAATGCACCGGATTGTGCACCACAGGAGGAGATGACTCCTTATATTCCTCATCCAGTTCATGAACCATTCCCCATTGCTATGGTTTGTCGTGAACCATATGGATCACCAAATCATAGTTCTGTGTACAATCCTCAAAATGAGGTTTGGCTTTCTGCATTAAGAAATGCTACCAAGAATGTTTTTATCCAAAGTCCAACACTTAATGCGGAGCCTTTGGTCCCGGAAATTATCAATGCTTGTGAGAGAGGTATTGATGTTTATTGCTATATTTGTCTTGGATATAATGATACCGTAAGCTTAATACACCGATATCTCTCAACTACTTACCTGGAGGTTTCTAATCAATGACTTTAGGGTGAACTCCTCCCAATGCAAGGCGGCACCAACGAGATGATCGCCCATAAAATGTACACCACTCTCTCAGACGCCGGAAAACAACACCTCCACTACTTTTTCTACGTGGGTAAAGATCAAACTACCCCCTTGGTAGCTAAAAAGAAGCTCCGCGATTGCCACATCAAAGTAATGATCGTAGACGAGCATATCGGTATTCAAGGCAACGGAAATCAAGATACACAGAGTTGGTTTCATAGTCAGGAAATTAATGTTATGATTGATAGCGCGATGGTATGTAAGGGATGGATTGATGGATTGAGGAGAAATCAAAATACGCATTTGTATGGGGAGGTTGGGAAGAGTGATGGGATTTGGAGAGATGATAGGGGAGAGGAGGCAAAGGATGTTATTGGAGTTGATCCAGGGAGGTTTAGTTGGGCGAAGGGGTTTTTGGGCGCGATTAATAGGGTCAGGGGGACGGGAGATTTTTAGATGGAGATGGAGATGGAGATGAGGATGAGGGAGAGGTGGAGGAGGAAGAGGAGAAAAAACATGAATTGCACTTTGGGCGTTCGAATGGGATTTCTATTAGGTACTGGAGTTCGGTGATGAGTATGAGTATGGAGAATTGGAACATGATAATATATACAAGAATCATTAACAACGTCGCATTTGTCCCAGGATCTACTCTGGCGAGCAATAGATATACCCTCGAGCAATCTGAAAACTAGCTAGCACATACCTAACAACAAAGTCAACCCAGCTAACTGTCTTGAGGCTCCTCCAATCAAAAATGAAACTCACAATTACTTGTGTAAGTATATTCTAATCCAAATACGTGCTTGCTCTACAAGTACGCAAATAAACCTAACAAATCGATAAAAAAAAAGCAAGAAGGTCACGGGAATTCAAACACCTGGTACAAAGAATTGAATTTCGTGGGGAGAAGCAGAATCCTTGTTTTTCACACTTTTCTAGGGTAAGATTGGAGGTTGAGGGGGGGAGTAATGTGATGTGATGTGTTGTGATGTTGGGACTTGGGGTCGGGGGTGGGGGTGGGGGTGATGATTTGGTGGGATGAGGATTTGGAATGAATGGGTCTTGGAAGGGGATTGCGGTTGTGATTGGTGATTGGTATTGGCAGGGTTGTATTGTATACTTCTTGAAAAAGGGGGGAGACATAGGTTTGTAGTGATGTGGTTGAATTTTAGAGTGAGTGTAAATGGGTTTCGTGCTATTGAAGTAGATGTGTGTATGATATTGGGGGATTGGAATGAAGAAGATGTTTTTTGGATGGATTGATATTAGACACCCTTGTTGTTGTGGTGAAGAGAGATGAGATGTGTTCTGTGGGATAGATGGATCTATTTGTATGCATTTCTTTGAGCTCAGAGGGAGGGTATGAGATCTAGTGATGAGATGGGGGATGTTTTCGGATTTTTGTGATGATTGTGTGGTTTGGGATCTTTGAGGTGGGAATTGTGTGGGTTATGTAGAGTGGTACCTGGCTGTATCTCATGATGGGAAAGTTCGAGATGTATGATGTGATGTTGTTAAGAGCTTCGAGTGGTCATCTCATTATCGTAGGCACCATAATAGCCACTGCAGATGCATCTTCCCAGCTTTTATTCTTCAGATAGATTGAGGTCTCAACTAGTGTGGTGCAGGTTGTTGCAGGATTGGGAAGTGAAATATGAAATCACACTTGACTGCCATCTTTGTCAGCTATGTCTTGAATCTGGGTCTGGAATGCCTTACATGATGAAGCTGTAAGGTCGTTTCCACCTCTCGTTGAATAGAATATAGTGTTAGTATTGTCTATCTGCCTCTTGCGTGTTTGGTAACTCGTTTCTTGTTATTTCCGTACAATCACCCCTGTCTCTATCAAAAGGCTGGTATATAACGCCTTCAAATCTTTACTTAAGCTGTCATGGTGATCTGTAACTTCTTTCCGGTGGCTCTTTCCCTCCATTTGTGGGGAGTTCCGATTTCATACCGCTGAAAAAGGTAATCAATGCATCGTCTTACGTCTGAGCCAGACGTCAGTTATGTGACATGAGCTCTCCAGGGTCAAATTCAAGTATGCAATCAGAAGACTGTCGACGTCATCTGGAAGCGATTCTCTTCTCGCTTTCTTGGTGTTTGAATAACGAATACTGAAATGCCCCAAAACATGAAAAATATTGACTCGTCTCCACGCAGAAGGAAGTGACTACCACAGCAAAGTACTTCTTCTGTCCTACGTAGAAAGTGGATGGTCAGCACTTCTTCCACGGCATAGTCACAAAATGATCGCAGAACGCACTCGAAGTCAGATGAGTCAAAGGCACGAAAGGAAGGTGGGAGTCGAGAGTTTGGAGTAGACCAATATGAAAGTAGAAGGAGCAGATGCACATCACATCACATGGTGACTAGCTCGGTTTGACTTAGTCAAGAGCTGGATAAATCAATGCTGCTCTTTCTATCAAACAATCACATCTCTCATTTTTCTAAACATACCTGTTTCTTTGTGGTATTCTAGGTATTTTCATTACATTTCCCTGCTTCAAATAAGAATCCATCAGGTGTATAATCTTTCACGCCTGGACTCCCATACATCTTATTTCTTTCGAACGAATTCGAATTTCTCAATACAATCATGTCAACACTTGGAAAAATCTCTCCGGAGATCCTAACCGATATTGTCAAGGCCCTTCGCGAAAGTTATTCGCCCTTCGAACTTGATAAAAGTGTATATAGCCTGGCGCTAACATGCAGAATCTTTTACCGTATTTGCGAACCCCTTCTCTACTCCCGATACAGGAACGAAGACAAATGCATTGGCAAGCTTAGCGAATTTATTCGAATGCTCATATTGAGACCAGATCGATGGCCTGGCTTCAAATTTGTTTCGATTGAGTGGAATCGTAGAACATCTCATGGTTCCTTGAGCAGAGCTCAACACGTTGAGATGCTCGCAGATGTTCCGTTCTTGAAAACTGCAATAGATCAGCTCCCAGACGAAATTTACAGGTTACAGAGCCGACCAAATGGCAAGATTGGAGAAGTAGAGAAAAGGAAACTTTGCACACAGTATGTGACAGATCTTGCAGAAACATTCAAACGACTATTGGACGTGGGCGATGTTCAGCCTTACTCTGAGTTATTAATTTACATGTTCACTATTCTAAGCCCTTACATACAAAAGCTCCAGATTGAGATAAAAAGTTCAGGAGGACATGATTCGGGTCGTCCTTGGCGGTTGCAAATCTTCCCAGAGGCAAATCATCTCAAATTTATCTCGCTTAAAGAATTCCACTACGTTACAGTGACAGCTCGCAGATCAAAGCCGAGAGAGGCGATTTCCATACCAGTAATTTCCGCAGAACAGCTCGATCTTTTTATGAGAATACCTACCCTGAAGAAATTGAAACTTCGTGGCTTTGCATTCAGTGTAGACCTGCCCTCTCACTGGGTTACAAAACCAGGATCGTGTGGGGTAGAATCCCTAGATCTCATGTACAATTTCAGTATCGATTTCGTAAAATGGAGAATCTTCTTGTCCGTATTCCAAAAATTAAAGCATTTCTCATACGACGGGAATTTCAAAGGCGTAATCCGCAGAGAAAGGCCTATTGACGGTGCAGTCACTCCCCGTTTTCTTGGCAAACTTATGGAAGGCATCTTTGTGCACGGAAGTAGCTTGGAGTCTTTTTCTTTGGTGAACATCCGTAGGTTAAAATCTGACCATACGCACCTCGAGATATCGACTACCCCTGGATTTACACAATTCTCTTGTTTGAAACAAATGAGAATTCAGCTGGACCTATTGATTGGTGTGGAGGGCGAGTCCGTTAGTTTCAGCTTACACTAACTTCTGCCGGAATCCCTAGAGACTTTGGAATTGTGGTGTCAAGCTAGCCTTGAGTGCATGAGTCTCACCGACCAATTATTAGGGCTGAAGACACATAAAGAAGTCTTTCCAAGTTTTGCGTTGAGAGAGGTGAAGCTTGTATACGTGATCGAGATGTTTCAGGTTGAGGAGACTTGGAAAATTGATATGATCAAGGATCTTTGGGAGAATGGGATTCATTTGGTGTTGGTTGGTCTGCCAATTAAAGATGTTTGGTGGGTCTATAGACCTAGGAATTGAGTATGAAGGCTATGTCAATAGTACCAATGTTTTCGCTGAAGTTTTCGTACTAGAGTCCTGGCCTGTTGAATTGGCAGAGTATGGGTAGAGGGAGTATAAGTCAACAAACTGTACGAAGTAAAGACAAAGAGTATAACTAAGATTATAGATAAAAACAACTCAGATAAAGGAATTATAGGTAAAAAGCCTAAGGTTAGGAGAAATATAGATAAGAAGGGGGTAGAATGATACACTTCTAACATATATTTATCGAGCCTCAATACCTTTCTCATGACAGAGTCTTCAAACTCTCCATTATACCATCGATGAAAAACAAACAAAACAGCAAAGCGAAATTCTTCATTGTGTAATCTATCCCAAGTGGCCGTGATGGAGCTAGCGAGAAAAAGGGGTAGAAATTTTTCATGTCAACCTACTAGTCAGGCGAATGTGTGAATGTTGGGTTGTCTCCTGACTCCTGGTATTTTTATATGCCCTTGATGTACATCGATTCATGGAATTCATTCATTGCTAGAAAGATATTCGTTTTGAAGAAGAATGTACTCGATATCTATTTCATCCTACACATCGTGTGTTTATAAAGCACTCTATTATTGTATTTCCTCATTACTCCACAGGATTTCTCCAAATGCCTACCCGAAGAACTTTGATCGTGTGGGAAGGTTGTTGACTGAATGGAACAAGATGGATAGAGAAAATGCTTGTGTGTTGGTGATGCTAGAAGCTAAAGAGCTATATGAAGACTAGAAAAGGAATTTGACGACGCCTCTCCTCTCGTTATGAATTCAGAAAATAATGTTCGATGAATGGTGAAATATTCCTCAAAAGAGTGTGTATGTATGAAATGAAATCAGTATGACGTATATCTTAAAGAAATCCTCCAGGCTTCTTTACCAGATTACGGATGATTGAATTACTGTCTTAGTATCTGCTCCAGGAGTTTGCCGCAATCAAGCTTCGAAGCTTCAATGGCTATTCGAGGTCGAGAACCAAAGCCGCAACTCTGCTCCTCCCAAGGAATTCATATAAGTATTAAACACAGGAGCAAATGGAGCCCTTTGTCTTTGGTGAATTATCTATGAGACCCCAGCCTCGTGATATTCACATGATTGTTATCTCTCTTGTTATCCAATCTGGATGCTGGAACTTACCACCACGTGCGGAAATGTCGATGCACCCAACTCGTTGATATACATCAAGGCTTCCAGTACTCTGGAGAATCAAAGAATGCTTATGGTTCTCAGGAAAAGTTGAAATGCTGACCAGCAGAGCCTTTGGGTGGGAATCCTTGCATCCATTCGCAATCAAATTGCCCTCCATGATGTATTCTTCGGTCAAATTTCGGGGATGCTTCATACGAATTTCATCTTTCGCATTCTCAGGGCAATCCAGAAAGATTGATGGGATTTCATGGCGGCAGATTTCTAAGGTTGGCCCTGAGAGCTTAACATAACCCCCTTTTACCACTCCGAAATGATCGTCATTCTCGTTCTTAATGATTATTTCAATGATTTTAGCATCTGAAGGAGGTGTACCATCGTCATTTGTTTCGTCATCGTAGATACGAGGCGATGACATGTGGCTGGTACTGACTGAGGCCCAACTCCAAGATGGCGCGATGTATTCAGTAGGTCGTATGAGTGGCAGGCGGCTGTTGTATGACCTTCGCCAAAGGAGACCTCGGTGGAAGTCATGTTCCCAAAGACCTGCCTTGTACGCAGCAGGAGGCTGTCCCATCTCTTTAGCCATCACCTTGGCAATAGCCGAGATACCAACTAGTACATCTTTTCGCATTGTTATGTGACGGTTAATATAATCATTCACGATACCGTACCACGATGGCAATTTTGTCTTTTTTTCATTCATATTTCGGCGTACAAAATCAGTGTGATTTCCGCCCGACGTACGCCCTCTTCGGTGGTTCTTTTGGGTGAATTCTCGAGAGGGACATACCTCTAAGAAGTCTTGTGTGATGCACCTCCAGTATAATTGCTCTTTACCGAAGGTAATTAAGCGCCGAGACATTAAATCTTCCTGCAAAGTCCAAGCACGTTTGCTGAGACAGCCTGCAAATGTATATGGATCCAAATCTATGGAATTCACTACACACAGCCTCCCACGTTCTTCAAGATGATGTGGATCATAGCCTTCGATCGAGAAATTAAACTTTCCACATTGTTGTCGGCGGAAAACATTAGTACTGTCAAAAATCCCAGACGCGGTATCTATGCCTGCTCCTGCTGCAATTGTCAAAGAGGCGCCTCCATAAACGTCTGCCATTTTAAGTGACTCCACGGCCCAATCTTCTGGTGAATCTTGTATAATACACAAAGAATCAATCCAAAGATATCGATGACGTAACCGACGAGTAACAACAATAGCATCTTTCATGGTTTGAGGAAGAGCAGACATAGGTATCTTAATACAATGCTGTTGAAGATTTTGCCTTGTTGTTATCGCTGTAGGTGAAGAGCCCCAACAATAACTCAATGCAACCCAGTTGCCATTTCTTTGATTTGTTTCTACCAAGAACGGATCCTGACCTTCGTGCTGTACATCTATAACCCTGGTTGGCAATTTTTGGTTAACCTTGTCTCGATTCCGGCATCTCTTGTGCTTCGAGAGACATTGCTGTAACCAGGTGGATATAATGTTGAAGCTTTCTTTTGATGAAACATCTAACGATAGTGGTCTGAAGGGTACACGCTTGGCGAGTCGGTCATCTTGACAGAAGCTATTTAGCTTTGATATCTTCATCTGATGAGACCTGTAACAACGTCTAACCTTCTGTAGTGCAAATGCCCAACCGAAATTCTTCTTTAGATGATTGCCACATTATTACCTGACCCGAAATCGAAACAAACATATTCACAGTGTCAAAATGCTGGGCCTGAGGGTCCATTTTCCCCAAGGACTTGAGTACGATGTCGCAAAGAAAACACCCACTAGTAGCTGCGTCAAACATGTCGCATACGTTACGACGGATAGAGTTATAGATATCCAATTTTCGACAGAACTCGCAAAGGAATGGAACTTCCATCAATAAAGGCTGTGGCGTCCCCATCTAATAAATCCACGTCATTTAACAAAACGCCTGGTAGTCCTAAATCTCTGTAACTTGGTATCTAATACTGCATCACTATAACTGAGAATTAGAGCTTTGTGCAATGGCTTATCAATTGGGATATCGCCAAACTTTTGTACACGTGGCTGGTAAAGTCATTACAGGGATCTTCTGCTGGGCTTGTTTGTAGAGAGGCAAAGAATGTGGTGAAAAATTAGTGTTCTGGATATAATTGAATTAATTTTGTATATATGGTTTAGCCTTTATATTCTTGCGTATACTCAAGTAGAGCGAATAGTCACTCAACCAATATTGAACTCGCTCGCAGCAGCCATATGCTCCTTCATCTTCCTCTTCATCCTCGCGGCAGCTTCATTACCATCCACAGTAGGCAAGTCCAACTCCATTTTCTTTTGTTTCCGCACTCTTTCTCCCTCGGGAGCTTTATCTTCTGCTTTCTCACCCCTCTTCGCCTTCCTAGCCGCGACACTTCTATCTGCTTTGGTCATCTTCGATGGTCTTAATCCGGGTACCTTTATGCTTCCAGGTTTGTCTCGTAAGGCGAATGCTTTGGCCAAATGACCCAAGTGTAATTCTTGCATATTGAATATATGTCTCTCATTTGCGACGTGAGTGGCATAAGCCCTGATATGACTCTGGTATCCACGGCGTGCCATCTCAAGATATTTTGGCGAGTCCAAACTCCATCGTTCAACTTCAAGTTGAAAATTCGTAGCTCTCTCTTCCCATTCGCGACCTATACCACCAAAACCCTTTTGTATCAAATCCTCAGCAGTATGACGTGTCAGAGCTTTCTTTCCTTCACGGTATCCGGATGCTAAGATAGAAACATATTCCTCCTCGACACCAGGCATAAGGAAGATCAAAGCACGACCCTCGCGACCAGCTCTAGCCGTTCGACCAACACGATGTAGATGGTCCTCTGCACTAAAAGGTGGATCATACTCGATGACAAAGTCAACATTTGGAAGATCGAGACCTCGAGATGCAACATCAGTACATATCATAACACAAGGGTCCGTAGATTCGGAAAATGCCTTAAGTGTTGCTGTTCTGATGTTTTGTGCAAGAGATCCGTGAAGTTTGTGTAAAATTACAGGGTTTGAATTATTCGAAATCGTGGTCCCATGTGCAATGGTCTCTTTGACCAATTCTGATTTTGGCAATGCGGGAAGATCAATCTTCTCCTCGTCGGCAACCTCAGCCGAAGCTTCTGGGGTACGAGAGAAGAGCGAGAAGTGAAAGTCAACAGAGTCAGCACAAGAGATGAAAACAATTGCCTTCATCACGGACCCTTTTCGTGCAAAGGCACGTTTCAAGAGAGCCGTCAGGGTAACGAGTCTGAGCTTCGCAGGAACGATAGCATATGACTGCTTCAATTGGGTAGGGGCAGAAAATGCTTTATCTTGGGCTTCAATGCCATTTTCCTTGTCTTGTTTATCTTGTTCGGAAGGATCCGCTTGAATGTGCACAGCGTCCTTCAAACTGATTTCTCCCAAGCGCTGAACATTCATCTTCATCGTGGCAGAACATAAGATAGTAACTCTTCGCTTCGGAAGTGACCCCATGTCCGAATTTGCTTTAGCCACTGATCTTCTGCCTATCTTCTCAACGATGCCTTTAATCTCTTCCTCGAACCCAAGCTCCATTAATCTATCTCCTTCATCCAACACTAACCATCTCACAGTAGCTACGTTCAACACTTCTGTGTTGTCGAGATGATCTGCCAATCGTCCCGGCGTTGCAACAAGAATATTGACACCCTTGCGAAGTCTAGCCTTTTCTGATTGCTTACTTTCTCCTCCGTTGACAGTCGTACCAACAATCCATGGCGCGCAGCGTAAAACTTTCTCCAGCACAGCTGCGATTTGTTTGCACAGTTCTCTTGTGGGTGAAAGAATAATTGCAAAAAGTCCAGAATCTCGATGTATCTGTACGCCATTCTCACTCAATGCCAATATCCGCTCAACTATAGGTAGTAGGTATGCCAATGTTTTTCCAGATCCAGTCTCTGCTTGTATGAAGGCATCGCTATCATCCGATATCAGCTGCTGTACAGATGCTTTTTGGATGGCGGTTGGAGCTTTCATATCGAGTTTAGTCGATAGATGGGCTGCAAGCCTTCTCGATAGGCCCAGATTGGTGAATGTTGCCATTTCCTCTGTCAAAGGCGCATTGGATGGTTTGGCCGGTTCCGCCTGTTCTTCCGATTCTTCGAAAGTTTTCTTTGAAGTGGGATTGAATGTGAATAGCGACGAGACAACTTGGCCTGGTTTCCTCCCGCCTTCAGCAATTTCGCGGTGGACAGCAGCCATTTCACGGTTTCGCATACCATCGAGACTACCATGTGGGAGTTTTCCGGAGACATAAGCCGGTCTCGTTTCATCCTGGAATGAAATGGCCTTCTTTGCGCCAGAATTTATACTGCCTGGAGGCAATTTTCCGGAAGCATACGCTGCTCTACCCTCGTCCTCGATTTGGGTAGCCTTCTTTCCACCAATATTGATGCTTCCAGGAGGCAACTTGCCAGCGACAAATGCTGTTCTAGGTTCTTCTTGAAAAGTGGTCTTTCTACCTCCTCCAACATTTATAGTTCCAGATGGAAGCTTTCCGGAAGCATAGGCTGCTGTATTTTCATTTCTTCCACCGTAAGAGTTGTAATTATCATCGACTCGTTGTCGCTTTGGTGCTCTTGATGAAGCTCCTCGCCCAATATACTCTTCCGCGCTGGTATCATGTTGTGGTTCAGAGAATATTTCTCTTGCCGATGGTTTATTCGTGCTCTTAGTGACTCGGTGCTGCGCAGTTTTCTTCGCAGCCAATCGATCCTTCCAACGTCCTCCTTTAAATGCTTGTTTCGCAACTATAGGAACATCCCCAATCTCAAAATTCATTAACATTCCATCGTCGGCCATTGTTGCTAGTTTGCTAAAAATTCGATCTGAAATGCTCTGGATTTTCCAAAAACAAAATGCGCAAATGCAGAAGTTTCGTTCCAGAAAAAAAGTTGAGCTTGGACCATCATCCCTCAGTCCCACCAGTCGCGGGAGGTCTAAGCTATTCCTGGACAAGCGTCATTCGAGCTCCAGCAAATATCAAAAATTATCTCAGGCTTCATTCTACGCTGCACATAACAGAACAGGATGACTCAAATTTACATTTCTTACCGATATGGACCCTAATTGGGTTTTCGATATCAGTTTCTTATTTACATTGACATTGAGACTCAGTTTGGAGTACAAGAGCACCAATTGTTCACGATGATCTCGTCCCCCATTCGCCAATCCATGTTGCCCCTCCTCAGCTCGACTACCAAGGTATACGGCGCACCACGAGCATTCTCGACAACTTCTGCCCTTCTCCGTCGAGTCGCGAATCCAACTATTCCGGGTACTTCTATCAAGATCTTCCGAGATGTGCCGGCTTTACGCCAATGGCGCCGTAAACAATTGATCGATCATCGAATGGTTGGTCTCGTGCCAACTATGGGAGCTCTTCATGAGGGTCACCTATCACTTATCCGCCTTGCTGCAGCAGAAAATTCAAATGTCATAGTGAGCGTCTATATTAATCCGACTCAATTTGGCGTCCACGAAGACCTTGATAGCTATCCGAAGACATGGGAGAAGGATTGCAAGATGTTGAAGGGACTTGATATGGAATTGGCCGACAATGGGAACATGGGTAAGATCGCAGCTGTATTTGCGCCTACAACAGAAACAATGTACCCGAGTGGACCACCAAGTCAAGAGGTTAAAGCGAAAGGAAGCTTCATCACTATCACACCAGTTGGAGAGCTACTGGAGGGGGCAAGCCGGCCAACATTCTTCAGAGGAGTGGCTACTGTCTGCATGAAGTTATTCAATATTGTTATGCCGGATAATGTTTATTTTGGACAGAAGGATGTACAGCAGACTGTTGTTATAAAGAAGATGGTTAAGGATTTCTGCTTCGACACCAAAGTTGTCATCGGAGAAACCCAAAGAGAACATGACGGCTTGGCATTGAGTTCACGGAATGTTTATTTGGGCAAGAGGAGAAGAAATGTCGCTACAGCATTATCAAAAATGCTCAAAGTTGCGGAGCAGGGATACAATCTTGGACATCGGTCACGAGATGAGCTTCTGGGCCCTGCATTGGAATTGTCGAAGTTGATGTTGATGGAACAGCATCAATTGAAGCCCGAAGAACGAGTAAGATATGAGGTGGATTACATCTCATTGGCTGATCCTGAGACTATGGAGGAAATTGAGGAGGTTGACGAAACAAAAGGCGCGATCTTGAGCGGCGCAATCAAGATGCTGCCAGTAGAAGCACCACAAGTTGGAGAGGATCTTGGTTTATCTGATGGACCTCCAGTCAGACTGATAGATAACATCATATTGAAACCTGTTAAGGTCTAAGCTACTAAGACTCATAGATAGAAGCTACATATACTAGAGAATAAACAGCAGTTTTGGTCCGCCATCTTCATCCCGATTGTTCCAAACTATTGTACTGCAACAAGCAATATCCACAAAACAAGCTCATCGAAAACACGTTCTGTGATGCAGATCCCACATGGTACAAACCAGAAACAACATCTGAAAAACATCATGAAACATGCTACCCCACCATTCTAAAAATATGTTTTCTCAACAACGTCTTGTCGAAAATTAAGTGACGCATTGACACGGCGTAGTCCTGTCACAGTCGTACTTCATCGTTGCCGTAGATCACTTTGGGAGAAATCTGCGAGTTCAAAATGTTTTGTAACATGGAGATATCGTCTGAGAATTAACAGAAAAGGAAAGTCTAGGCTTGAAGTTCTCTTCATGTTTTGCTTCTTCTTCAGTGGGCCGAGGATCTGCTGGAAACATATTAGTTACATATACGAGGAGGTTCATGGAACTCCAGCTGAGTGGGTCTACGGGAGTACCTATTTTATGCCAGAGAGTGTTGAGTTCCCTATCAGTGCTCCCACGTCTTCCATTATTCTTCTCGAGCTCCCTCCATTCTCTTCGTCACAAATGCCATAATATCTTTTCCCAAGGCAGCCATATTTGAAGCCTCATCTTCATCCTCAACTTCCTCCTCTTCATCTCCCCCAACACCAAACCATTTAATCTCACAACAAATCTCCACCCATCCATCAAAATCCGCATGATAATACAACCCAAAATTCCCAATCTCTAGTCCATCTAGGTAATCCGGGAACTTGGTCCGAAATTTCGAGGACCTACGAGTAGAGTTTAAAGATTTGACGATCTCTTCAAAATTCCCACTTGCAATTTCTCTTTTTGAATATAGAAATGGCATCAACAGCTCACAAATAGTTGACTCTGCTATTTTTCTTGCGCATTCGTTTGTCAGACATGCGAAATGTTCCTCGGCGTTTTGATGCTCGATGTTGATATCAAAGGGGCCAGTCTGCCAGGTGAGTTTGGTGTCTACTGTCCATATCTCATTACCTACTGCGGGAATTGATTTCGGCATTTTGCATCCGGGTGTACAAGATATGTGGAGGTTACTTTTTGACTATTACTTGTTACTCTGAGACGGTTTGATGTTGAAAATCCCCTCCCTAGCTTTCTACGCGATGTTTTCTTGCAGATACTCCTTACATTACGAGGGCTTCCAGTTTGGTCTTGGACTTACGAAGGACTGCTTTTGAGTTCCTTCGATTTGTGAACCTGTTCGAATCCATCATTCTCATCATCAATTCTCACATCTTCTACTCATAACGCCTTCATTTACTTAATTCCCGCTCATTGAGCTGCCTGCTTAATACTTATGCCTCAATTTATTTTTTCACTCCCCTCTTCACCTCGAAACCTTTCTCGCTTCGAATTCACTCCGACTCTACTGTTACTATTGTCATGCAGTAATTTACCTCATTGACCACAATTTCTTATGATTGTGCTTGTGAAATCTTGGGACTGAACTCTAATTCGAAGATTTATCATCCAGTCTATCAGTAGTTGCTTTGATGCCAAAATATCATTGGCTCTGCTGCCTTCATTCGAGAGTAATCTGTTAGAGATAATTCTCAAAGGGAGTATAAATATGGGATTCTAAATGATGTGCAGACTCAAAGTGGGCTGCAGTTGAGATTTCACTTCAGACGCGTTCTAATGAAACTGATCATTGCGAGCTGTGTATGGGATAGCAATCAGCATGTGCAATGAACTATTCAGCAAAACTTGATTTGAGAAAATGCTATATTGCCTCAGTATATATCTACATATATCGAAGTTACAATCCTACAATACAGAATCCACTCCTCCTCTGCTACACACAAACACTTTTTCATCCCCTCTTTTCAAACCCAAAACTCCCACTCCCATGGTATCCCGCTATCCGTCTTCAAAAACAAACGCCGCTACCCTATGTATCTTCACACTTAAACGAACCCGAGGATATATATGCACACAAGAAACGAAACCAAACACAGGACAAGATAAATGCTTAAATTATCCTATAAGAGCACCTCCCTATACTAACAAGAGAAGCGAATTAAACTTTAAACAATTCGATACCTGCTCGATAGATAGATATATACGGAAAGCTACCTAGGACCAGCCTAATTACTTCCGGTAGCAGGGAACTTTTGCGCCGTCTGAGAGAGACTCATTGCGCCTAGTGCTGCGTTTGAGAGTTGTGTGATGCTCGGGAGAATATTTGGGTTTCTATTGGTTGTTAGTTTGTACTTCAAGCTGTGGATGCAAGTGGATGGTGCTTACCGAGCATTTTCAATGGTAGCCACGTTAGATTTAACAGAAGCAGTTGAGGGGTTTGTCATCATAGCTTTCAAGCCTTTCAGAACCGCAGGGGTATTCTTGACAATTTTGCTGTTTGCTGAAGAACCTGCACTACCTGCCGCGGCAAAGAGGACTGATCTTTGAGAGTCCTCATCTGATTCGGCAGCGAATGCTTTTCCGGCTAGCGCTGAGATATCCGATTTATCCGTCATACTGGGAAGTTTATTCAAGGCTGCTGATACAGTATTGGCATCGCTGGCGAATCCGGAGACAGCTGACTTGACTTGTGCTGCTGTGACTTTTTTGCTGCCGGATGTTGCTTTCGATGAGGCCACATTCTCGTTTATATCTTCCAAGTTGATTGCTGTGGTTGGCTTTGCGCTACCGGAAGATGTTGATGATGCCGTGGAGGCTGTGGAGGCTGTGGAATTACCGGATAATGACGAAGTAGAGTTTCCCCCTCGAGCGACCAAGCCATTGATGGAGCCAGGTCGGATAACGGGTAAAGCAGTAGAGAATGTGAGGGCTGAAAGTGCGACAAGGACATAGGAGAACTTCATTGTGAATGTGGATTAAAGAATGAAAACAATTAGAACTTTAACAAATTGAAAACTAAACAACTGCCCTGTTGTGAATGATCATCGACGTTGTATATACAGGTAGCCAAGAACTTCCAAGAAAACTTCAGATGCGTCTGAAATCAATCAGCTGGAAATTATACTGAATGAAATTTCCAAAACAACTATGGGACGTCAAAAAAACTATGCTCAGACAAATTTGCCGTTGGAGATGTCCATTTTGGGCACAGTCTGCGAGTCGTTTCAATTTTCCACTACCATCTAGCTTTTTCATGGGCAATGGTCAGGATCTGAAACAGTACTAAAGTGAATTCGTCCAATCAAAATTCGCATTGAATCTGTGACATAAGATGACTGGGGAATTGTGATCTTTTTTACATGACGATAATGATCCAAATATTCCATATCTCAATTTTGAATCATCGAAACCTTTCGATTGTACCCACAAACTACTATCAGGTACCACGAACCGAATATGGTTTTAGGTCCCATTTTTAAGTGTATTGCATGGAAAGCTTGTAATCACAGAATCATGAAATTGATGTACAGTATTATCCCAGGAAGATCTCTACGGTTGTTTCACATCTATCCAGCCTTGTACAAATGGAACTTTTTACCGATCTCGTCTGAAGATGTTGTGCATACTGGAGGCTTGTTTAAAGTTGCCAACGTACGTGCAACATACGCTCAGACTCAAGATTTGTTGCGTAGCTCGATAATCATCCCACGATAATAGGCTGACGGAGAATTCTCCAACAGTCGAAGCTAGCATTACAGAAGCATTAAAACTTGACGGGACAGCCCTGACTATGAATAGAACGCCTACTTTCGAAAGAAAAGGGCTGAAGATCTGTGCGAGTGGGGAAGTGACTTTGAAAGCATGAATGGATCAAACCACCCAAGAAATCCAATGCTTCAAAAGATGCCAAGTTACCACTTGATCAGGATTTTATATCAAGATTTGCGGTGTGAAAAACGACTTGAGATCTTGGCATCAATTTCTGTTTTGCAGTCATAATCATGTGGACTGAGCTTGTAGAGCCATGATTGGAGTTGATGATGCTCGAGATAGGAGTTCGCACATGTTGCTTGTTCTTATTCTGACTCTTGAACCATGTTTATCCGTGATCAACATTCTCTGGGGATTATCTCCACTAAGTGGAATCATAATTTACCAGTACCAGATGGAAAGAACCCAACACTGCTCAGAGCAAACTTGGCTTGACATTGACCAGTTCTAGCTATCATTCTCTGGAATCCTACGATTTATCACTGAGATGCGGTACTTAGATCATAATCATTTAGACGTGATAAAGAAGATATCGGTACATTGATAGCAATCTTTGCAGGAACAGCATGCAACATAGTCTTATCAATCTCGAAGTTTGGAGAGCTGTGTATCTTGAACAAGTTTAGCAAAATCACTAAGGTATGGGGAACGTGATGTCTCCATAGTAATTTCTTCCTTGACGGTTTACGTCCGAAACTTCTCTCTGGAGCGCATATATAAATATGATGCCGCTCGTACTGCCAAGGTTGCTCGGACGGATTTCAGGATCCAAATATAGTGCAGGAACTTCTCTGTACACTTCCAAAAAGAATTAAGCCCAGGGTACTGCACAAAGCTTTGCAAGGTGTTTGAGATAGAACAGTGATTGGATATGGTATGAGGTAGGAAAATCGTATTGAAATCGGGCGATAACAGGTGACCGTCGACTATCACTTGGGCGTGTAGATTTCTTATAACCTAATGCATAATTCGCTGCCGATGTTTACCAGCAAATGGAATTGAAGTCGAAACATCTACAAATTGAGTAACAATGAAGTTCAAAACTTCCAGCCACTGAGGTTTGGATATTCAAATCGAATGATGTTGTCCATAGACTCTTTCACGTGCAGAAGATTCATGATTCTGAAGGAGTCGCGCTAACGATACTGTTACGCAATACCCCTGTCGGCAATTACTCCGCGTCGCGTTTCCGGGTCAGTAGAACATTGGAATCAAGCCCAAGTAAACAATTCTAATCCCTTTCGCTGAACAATATTAATCGGAGATATTATCGTCAATCGAGTTACTGCGGGTTTGTTTTAAGCACTCATACTTTTGAAGACATTGGGGCCACTCAAACAATTCCACAACGCGCCGCAATATTGCGGGGTCTTGAATTCAATCCAATGGCTCCCGAACCTGGCTCTCAGTATCCCCTCTACAACACCACATTCACCTTACATCGTGCTTCTCCACTCTACATTGGCGACCAACCTCTTCATAATTCGACCTTACAAGTACATGCGCGCCGATTTCGAGATATACTAGCAGGCGATGTTTTACGAGGAGTTCGGGTTGGATTAGGATCTGAAGATGATATACTGGCTCGTGTAGGAGCTCTGCAAACGGTGGTATGGAGGGTTTTCAAGGTAGAATCGGAATGGAGTGTTGGAGATACCACAGGAGAAGCTCTTGATGAGTCTGTGTCTGAATCTATGAATGATCGCGGAATATTGGTTGAAGTTAATTATGAGAAAGCGAAATACACTGCAATTTTATTACGCACCACTTCCGAAGACGACATAGACGACGCGATCATGGATAATTCTCGCGATCAAGCTGGATTCCTACGCTTGCCACTAATCTTGACACGAATGCCATTGTCGTTAAGAGAAACATTCATCCAATACATCTGCAGGATATTCGATACAAGGGTGTCCGCCCTGAAGTTGGAAGGAAAACATTTGATGGAATCATTCGAACAATTTACATCCAACTCGATCCGCTCAGATGCAACAACCGAAGAGCGCCAAGTTAGTGTACAAAAGATTATTAAAGAAGTACAAATCTCTGTTGGCTTCGATATACCTGGTGGATCGGCTGCTCTCAAAACTATTGGAATACATATTGCCAGGGAGGATTTACCTCGTATGCTTGCACGAGGAAACAAAATCGCAAAAGACGGATCTCCCTTTATGGCTGCATTGAAAACTTATGTCAAGGCTCATCTGGCACTGGATTTAGGGCATGAGAAGGTGAAGATTGTTAAGATTGCATGTGGCTCATTTGTACTTGGCGAAGGGAGGTTGAAATTGACGCAGCCATCGAGTGGCGAGCATGAAGATGACGGACTGTATCGAGCGACGAGACAGCTTCTTAATAGTCTTGTAAATATTGCGTCCAGACGAGGAATTTTGGGAGAGAAGTGAAAGCCGACATATTGTCTCATGTCGAGGGCTCTTCAGCCTGACTAAATTCATTCGACGGTCACTCTCCGCAATGAGCTCCCGTTATCAGGGGCTTATCGAGAAGGCAATCAAGCTTCACATGCTAATGTCAAAGAATACATCCAAAGCTTGTGATCAGGCTTGGCTACACCCAGGGGATTATGTACCGGAAGATGCGGCTTGTCATCTTACACACTCGAGCCATGACAAGACGAACTGTATGCAAGTTAAGTACATTGATAGAGCTCAAGACCAGCGACATGTTTATTTGATGCAAGAATGTCACTTGAGATATGTTACTGTAAGCAATTTGGCTGTGGTCAAGAACTCTAAGCCTTCAGGCCTCATCTCTCTCGGTTTCAATACTGGAGATCAATCTCGTCTGGTCATCCATGGTGGTCTAAGAGTATAACATATCAATAATGTTGCGGGTGGTCATCATAGGCTGAGATCGTCGCATTGGTATCAGGTCGATTTCTACGAACCGAGATTAATGGTTTATGGAATCCAATTTTACATAGGAGATTTAATGGGCTTGTTACATGATTAGCGAATTGAGCCCCTATTCAATAATGACAGATACAATAACATACGTGTGAATCGTATGCAACCCGTGCACATGCTTTACCCGTTCGTACTCAAGTCCTTGCCCAAGCCCAAGATGTGCTTGAACAGAACTTTATTAGTAGCACTTCAGCTAGTACTTCGAATATCTACTACTAGTAAACCAGTTTGCACGCACGAAGCGAATTATTATTATTCACACAACAGCAAAATATGATTCACATACAATAGATAGTACGAACAACTTCCCTCCCTCCTCCCCCACCATATATATTGCTTTCCACATCCCCCACTTCTATATGCAATAGTGGGGTTGAGGCTTATTTTCTTTTTCTTTTTTTGCTTTTCTCGAGCCGTTTCTTCAACCGGCGCATGTGGCGTGTTATAGTAGCCCAGTCTTAGCCAGTCAATCAAACCCTCTCAAGAACCCGTGACTACGCGAATTTCTGATGGAGGTGGGGTTGACTCACGTCTCCAAGCAACTAACCACCTACCTAGGTAGTACTCTTCCTTATTACTCCGTGGATTGGGTGCCACTCCTTTCTCATGATTCGATTCCATTTGATCACCTTTCTTACAATATCCATATCCATACGAGGAGGACACTTTGAAAAGTTCCATACTTCCATACTTGCATCCACTCCCACACTCCCGACCTTCTACTTCCACTGCGAAAAGGCAATAGCAATTGATACATGTTAAAAACGAGTCCAATTGTTTCGTCAATCCCACTGTTAACCAAATCATTATATCGTATATATGTATGAGATCAAAGTTTAGCTACCTACTGGATAAGATAATTGATCAAATCAAATCAAGTCAAGTCACATTTGCATCTGCCATTCAAAGGAAAAGAGATCTCGACAAAAAGCCGAAACCGAAGAGACGAGACACACGCGGACAATTGAGGCGTCTGTCTATCTTTTTTCGCGATTGCGCGCCGCAACCCTCATTTCTCTCCACACACCCACAACCAGAATCCACACACAGACCGAACCAGCATTCGATATCACCCGCCACAATCATTATCAACCCTCGAACCCTCCAACCTAATATTAAACATCAATAGTTATATCGATAATCAATTAATTGATCTCTCTCCTCTATTATATTCTTAACTTCGACAATTATCACGACAATTATTGTTACTTTGTTGCTATCTTCCGCAGACCCCATAACCATTCAATCAACGAGTCATTGTCGCGACATTGCGATCCTACATCAGGGTAATTTAACAATATCGAGTCCCACTTGACGCGACGGAAACCCGCGTTTCATTACACCTCCCCTCTGATGGCAAACAACGACAGTAATGCCACCACTATCGGTGCGCATGAACCGGAATTAGTAGAAACCCTCCAGAATTTGATATCGCAAGGGGACAAAGGAGGATACCACGCTGGGAAGAGCGTCGCAACACAACCCGCGATTGCCATCGCGCCCGTATCCGACAATTCTCAATCGACAGTAGACGGTCAGGACGCTGTTTTTACACCACCAGCTTCTGATGAATTCTCATCGCAAAGTACCAATCAAGATGGAGGACCTTTATCGCAACTCTCACAACTCTCACAATTAGCTGCCGCCCAACTACCACTTGAAAGTAATACCAATACAACACCACCAAAAATCAACATCACTCTGAATGCGAGTCAGAAGAGAACCGCAGATGGTCATGTAAAATCAAAAGGGTCCAATTCAAATTCACCAAGTCCTAAAGGCCCATCATCTGTTCGAAGTCATACAAGAAATACAAGCACAGTCAGCAATGCATCTTCGGTCGCAACTAGATTTGGAGAGGTCAGTAGAGTTTCTATAGCAATAGGGTACTTGAACTAAATTTAGACAGCTATCCTCCGAATTAAGAACTCGCCTTTCTTATGCAATGGTAAAGGTTAACAATGGATGGGAATCGAAATCAATCAATGAAGTTGAAACTATTGCATCACAAGCTGGATCTCCAACATCTTCAACTTCAACCTTGAACAATCGCAGAAACCTTCACACTTCTCCTAGAACAGCTATAGCAAACATTCAGGGTCAGGGATCCAGAGATGTATTTGGACCACGACCTACAGCCGATTTCGACCTGTATACACGAACAGAACCATTATCTCGAACCTATGAATCATTCTGGCGTGATCATTCTACCGCCAACGGAGCCCAATCATATAGACACAACTTATATAACTCTTCGTCACCACAATCCAAGTCTCTCGCTCCTCCGGCTGATATACGACCAACACCTCCTTCTAGGAGATCAGACTCGAAATTCTCAAAACTTCCATCTATCCCACGCCACTCGAGCGCCAACTCGCATCATTCATTTAATAATTCTGCTCCTCAAACTCCCAGTGGGACTGCTCATCGTCGCTCTGGGCATACCATAACCTCTGGACACAGACCAACGAGAGAACAAGAGAAACGAGAGACGCTAGAACAAGATGCAATCGAAATGTTGTTATCCATGGGCTCGCCTGGGAATTCACAAACCATTGGACCTAATTTAACTCCTCCACAATTGACGAAGAAAAGCCCCAGGCAAAGCCCTCTTCGTACAGAATTCGGGCAGATGACTCAAAACGACAAGGTTAAAATGGGACCCCAGAACCAGCGCAGAGTGGAGTTTGCAGAAAGTGTTAGTAGTGGTGGAAGCGACAATGGATACCAAGCAGCAAGCCATAGTAAAACCACCATGAGAAATAATCTTCAAAGCAGACGAGTGACGGACAGGATGTTAGATGAAATGGATGAGAGTAGTGATGAAGAAGTCGAATTACCTTTACCACAGGGAAGACGTATACCAGGACGTGTCTAAAAGCATATTACGCAGGTCGATCGATTATCTTTACTTTTCGCATTGTATTGTTACACGGGGTCTCACTTAACTGATGAAGTACATACGAAGAGGTATCCTTCAAGGAGTAAATACTAGCATTGTTCGGAGTATTCGGCTTTCACATCATCATTCGGGCGTCGATACCCATCTATCATCACATTCGTCTTTTAGCACTTGAACTGCATTCTCGGATTATGGTCAGGGTTATGTGATAGGTCTATATTTGATCATACTGTTTCATTGGCTCGGTTATAAATCAGGAGATTCGGGGGGGGTATTACTGAAGGGTATTTTTCGGGTGATGGCGTCACGTGGGTTTTTGGGAAGTAATCATTTTTATCTTTATTCATTGTATATACATACATACATGTGTGTATACGCATCTGGGACTGGGCGGTAATCCGGTGCATAGACTAGCTTGGTAGCTACATATTGGAGTAATATATTTATTCACAACTTGGAGTGTTGGATGTGTAGGTGGATGTTTGTTTCTGATACTTGAGGGCTCGACTATATATACCTGCCTACCTAATCCACGATGATACCGTGTATAACATATGGTATGGAATCCATACTCATCCTTCTATTACACTGTGCTTCAATGATTCCCATCCATTCACGTATTGAAGAATCTTTACTCGGTGCATCGGAGAATCTGATGGGTTGGGAGAACAATCGGTATCTAGGTAGATTTAGTATGTAACAAAGAGTTGGTTTTGACGTAATGCCTCGTATGGTAGTGTGAGAGATAGGAGGGGAAGATAAATGGGGACGTGGCGTGAAATCGGGGGCTCTGGAAGGGGGTTGTGGTGGATTGATGGACGGGTATAGGAGGATTGTGTGTGATGCTTTTTAGCAGATGTCAATCTCTCCGAGCGCAAGGGAATCACAAGAGAGATGGTTCTCGTAGAGAGCTCCAAGAGAGTATCTCGGCTCACACAATCACACGAAAACGTGAGTGGTTTTCTTGAGGGTGGAACGGGCCGCAGAATATACACGGATGGACTTTCTCGCAGGTTTTGAAAGATTGGCAAGAATGTCAAAGTCGTGTTTGAGTATCATGTGAAAAATAATTTGTGGGTGTAGTGAGATGATTTAAACTGTGGATGTTAGTAATTGGGATGTCCTTTCTAATCAAGCGAGCATTATCCCTATGTCGCGCATAGTCTTTTCCAATTCATCTGTATTTCTCTCGGGTATAATCTTATGCAGATCTGCTCTTGGCCAACGATCAAAGGGTATAACTTCCCACTGAACGCTCCTCTCTACCAATCCATTCCCTCTAGATCCCAAGGTAACTCATCACCCTCCATTTCAGAACATAGAAACGTGTTTTCAAAGACATTCTCTCCCCCTGAATCCTTACCTGTGCAGTCTAATGCAAGATTATTCTTGAGTAGAGAAGATATAAGATCACTCAGCTCTTCTTTAGTCTCCTCGTCAGAAAAACTGCCGAAGACATGTTCGTTGTACAGAGCTCTGTACATGGAAATCCTTCTCCCAATCAATAGTGACGAGTAATTACATTCAAAAATCTTGTAAAGTTCGCCTTGTCCATCACAAAGAGCCATAAGTAGTGCACCTTGAGTCTTGGCAACAATCTTACACAAGAGAATAAGCTTGGTTTGCACCAGTTTATACAACTGTTGGTCATCTTTAACAACCTCCTTCTCAAGATCTGGGAGAGAATCCCACCTCCCAACTGTATGGATCAGAAACTCTTTAAATAGCACTCCGTGGCGAAGTTTGCGGGCCAACAAAAGCAAGGAGACACATTCATCATCATGTTCGCCGGTTAGGGCATTGTATGTTGCAAGTAAGCCTTTAAAGATTCTGCACTTGAACAAAGCCCCAGTCAAGGTTGCTGAAACTACCGGCAGGGCGCAATAGTAATCGGCCAGGCGTGTGAGTCTTTTGAGCTCATCTGCGGTCTCAATTCTGTAATTTTTTGAATGAATGGCACAAAGGAGCTTTCGAACGGCTTCGATTTCTTCCTCGAGTCCATCGACAAGAGTCATCTTTTGGTCTGTTATCTCTGGTCACTATAGTTCGAGAGTTAGCACTAGGTGTTTTTGAAAGGAAGTTGGCGGGAAACATACATCTGAAGCTGGCATCAAGGCCCAGCTTCCATCTTCGTCAATGACAGAGCGATAGTCATATTTGAATAGCGCATAAGCGGGTGCAGGTTTTTTGTCGGCCTAGAATGTGAGAGTCAGTGATTATCAATCAAGGAATATTTTGGTATGGTATGAACTTAGATTTATCGTCTGGCCACTGGGTTTGCCCGCAGTGCCTGGTTATGTTGGACATGAATTGTTTGGAATGAGTGACACAAGCACCCAGAACTAGATATTTGGAAGGACTTGTAAAAGAAATCTGTAAAGCTCACTGAATCAAGAACCTTGCGAAAATGATCAGAGTGATGTTTGAGACCGGAAGAATGCAAATGAAATTCTTGTTTGAACACCGTGAATCGTGTATCAGCCTTTACACTACGCGCAAGGAAAATGATAGGTGATGGAAGTTCTTGTTGCGCAGGTGTTGGATCCTCATTGTGCTTTCTTTTTTTTATTCCGTTGCGCCATTGTAATGAACGATTTTCAGTGTTGGTCTATTGTTAAAAGTGGGAGAACTGTAGGGTTTGATTATTTGGAAGAGGTTGACTCGGATTACAGTGCCAGCGAAATTATTATACCTCGATACCACGTGCTAGGAAACTTGGTAGGTAAAAGTAAATCCTTATATATGCGGTAAGCTTCATCTTTCGAGATTTCAAGGTGATGACATGGAAGCTGCTGGGGTAAGTTTATATTACAACAGATGAAGAACAAGAGGGCTTGAATATCCGTAGTCGAATAAGGTCAATGAATTTGGTCAATTTGACTCGACTGTGCTGCTCACAAACTATTGTACAACGAACCGATGGCTAGTATTTACCCGAATATTTTCATAAGTAGTTCGTCACGTGTATTTGGACTCCAAACCATACGCTCAATTTATTTTGCTTGGGACTGACAATTTGTAGTTCTCATACAAATGTCTACGTGTGTGTATACCTTTTTCATTCCATTCATGAGTAGTCTTTACTGATCAATTTTGAGTAATCTAGCTAGCTGCTCTCAATTCTCTGCACCTCTTAATATTCACATCGCTAGCTTGCGAGATTACTGTGTAATGAAACCTTCAGATAATGAATATTCACTAACAAAGTTTCCACGTCTTTACTATCAATGTCAGATACCAAGTGAATACTACGGCAGGTCATTGGCGTCAAATAAAAAAGTTCTAACATCTTAAATAGCCTTCATCTCGCCAGGAGTAAGAATCAAGTTTATCACTTCTTCAATTGAAGATTAACCATAGAGCTAGTTCTTCTCCAACAAATGCGAGAGTTTCTTCTACTTTACATTCTTGAGCGTCATGGAGACTATCCATACATCTCAACCACAATCACTCTTTTTCGCAGCCATATAATAATACATCTACCAGTGTTATTTAACATAACACACCACTCACCAGAAACTTACAATGTCTCTGACTCTTTTAAAGAAGAAACTTAGGGCATTTGAAGAAGCAGATTACGAAAATCCTATTATCTTCATATCTCCAGACCATAAACCTGATGTTCGTCTGATGGTTTTCAAACAAGAGTTTCATGTGCGCTCTCACATCTTGAAGAAAGGATCAAATTACTTCCGCAAATTTCTCGATTCGCCGGATAAGCAAAATAAACCCGCATCAGAATCGGATTTGTTCCGATACGATTACAGCACAGTTGTTGACGAGGATGGCACTTGGGGCTTGGTGACTGTTACCAAGACACGTGAAGTTTTTTGTTGACTTGGCGACAAGTCAGCTAATATACTGACATAAGCTCCGTTGTTAACTGAGGAAATGATATCCCGAACAAATGATATAAAAGGAGAAATTGAGGGTTTTCGACAACTCATTTGCGCCATGTATTCGAGTCCCTATACCATCAAGGATGTTGAAGAGCTATCAACACTTACTCGCATCGCAGATTTCTACTGCGCTCTTCCAATAGTTTCGGTGACTCTCCCCAGCGCGCTTCTTGACAGCCCTATATTTTCGAAACGAGAAGTTGAAGATATAACTGCCTGCACAAAAAATCAGCTAGCGGAGGATTGCAACTTTATGATATTCATCGCGCAGAAGCTTAGAAATTCAGTTCTATTCCGCGAGTGTCTGATTCACATTGCAGCCAATTGGAAGGATGCGGATAATTTCAAGTTTCATCGCGCTCGAAACGATGAAACTATCCGTTGTGTAATCAAATTAGAATTCTCTCAACTTGAAGAAATGATCATCAGGTTGAAACATGCACTCTGGGTCGCGGCCATAGTGACCAAACTTTTGCCGGGTGCACCTGAACTAACACGAGTACTGGCAGCCGCTGAGAAAGATTATATCTCTTTTGAACGTGAACCAAAAAAGGCAGTTACATTCTGGAAAAACTTGAGCGCAAAATTGGCTCACGTGGTCCGCGATGGAGATTTTCTTAAGTCTAAAGTAGGTTCGTTATTGGCCAACAATCTTGTATTGGATCGTACCAATGACGGACCTGGCGAAGGCTGTTATAAGCATTGTTTCCTCTGTACCGAGATCGCCGACAGTGAATTTCCTGTAAGTACATGCCTTTATTTTGCGTTGCCTGTACTTGAAAGAAACTAATATGATGTACTTACAGTGGGATACCACGGCTGTTGACTTGTAAATAATGGATATACAAGCCATGAGAAGAACGCGCAGGTAGAATGAATGTGGGAACTCTAAAAGCAAGCTGGGGGGAAAGTTTTGATCTGGGGATTTGTTTCAAACTGGAGTTTAGGTCATTTCATTGACAGAATTTTCTATCTTTCGTGAGGATGCAAGGTGTTGCAAGATGACCTCGAGTACAGGGGATTATTTTTGCAAACCACAGGATACTATTCCTTATGAAAGATTAATTACATTCACAGTCACCCGATTGCTCAATATCCCAGTCGAGACATCATGCAGAGTATTGTTATTCTCATGAGTGATGTGACTAGAAATGAATCGGCTAATTATGTTCCAATAATGTTGATCTTCAAATCCCAAAACGTTATCGAAAGCCTGTTAGTCGCAAGTGATGACCTAACACCTAAGAAATATTCCCCTAGTACCACCACATCCTGCAGCTCTCCATTATGAATCACCACTACTTGATGAGTACTCAGAGCGTGAAACTCGAGCTCAAAACAGAACATAGAATATAGAATATAGAGAACTGAACATGTGAATTTCACCACTAAAGTGACAAAGAGATTTTCGAAATGTCCGGAAGATCGTAGAGTACCCTTTGCAATATTGTAGTACGGTTCTTGGTGTACGAGAATCTATTTATATCCTTGTAGAGACATGCAACAAACCGAGGGCGATTTCCAATCAAAGTTATAAGCAACTGTGCGAACGAAGCATGTCTATCTATTAAGAGAATCGATAGCTTTCTGCTAGTTTCTCAAGATCCACACACCATACTTGATTAAAGCCCAGGAAACGCATTGTCCATCCAGATCCTTGTACAGATATGCAACAATCGAAATCAACTTTCAATTTACATTAAACCTTCCGAGGAGATCAAAGAGGGCTCTCTGACCAACACCCACTAGCGCCAACCTAATTTCTCATCGAAGTGCTAAACTTCATTTACAATACTTCACACGCGTATAGTGTCTCTCTCCCAAAAGCACCGACACAAATCCCTGTACAGATATGCAACAAAAGGGAACATCTGCATACTATTTTCCTCCCCATCCTGGACTGCATGCGGGGTCAACAGGGATGCAGACCATCGATGACTTAGGTGGTCGGTTACTAGTAACTAGCTTCTCTTAAGCTTTTGGTCAACGTACTAAGATCACCCGGACTGGCTGGGCATTTGACAACTAGTCTGTGATATCTTGTACCCCACCCTGGCGAGACATGCAACAAATGAACTGGATGACGAATAGGGAAGATGTTTGTGGTGAGGTGGAGTGATTCCCCGCATTTGTTGTTGAACTGACCTATGGATAGACGGTACTGGTTTGGGGGTTTGATACACTTGCATTTATCACCGGCGGAAACTTACCGTGTTGCGCTGGATTGGAATCCAGCCATCTTGATTTTGTCATTAGCGGAGTGTAGCGGGGGCTTCTGATAGAAATCCAAGTATAAATTGAGACTCTTGATTTTGCCGCAGAACATAAGTTTGGGGTGAGCTGTGGTGGATAGAAATGAACGTAAACTATCAGCCCTCATCGGTTAAAGGCTGTAAAAAAAAAGCTTGAGTTGTACACTCTGAAACCCTTAAATGAGCAATTGAGAACTGCAGACCGTTCTCCGTCCTCGTCATCATTATATATACTTTTTTTTTGTTTTTGCATACTTAGATGTCTGCATTGCTTTTTCCTGAATTATAATTGGACACTCTTAAGAATATAATTCCGGTACTCTTAATCCATCTATTGCATCCAGAGTGTCGATTAAGGTAGTCAGGCCTGTGATATTGGATTATGGTCTTGACTGATTGGGTGAATATAAAAAAACATCAGGCTGGAGCGTGTTGATTAGTGTGTTATCATCCCATCTGTACAATCTCATCTCGCTCACCTTCATCACCATGTCTTACCCCTCATTTCTCGCTAAATAGTTTTGCATGTTTGCCTCTGACAATTTCTCGAAAGCAATGAAGCAAAGAGTACTGATATACTTGAGTAAGATGAGTTTTTCGCGACACCGGAGTTCTTTTATTTGATACACAGCCATGTGTACGCAAAACAAAGATTGCTTTTATCATGATTACATGATGGGTTCGACACAACGTTCAGACCTGAAAATTTGAGTTTCACCAGATGGCAAGCCTCAATGCTGACTCCTGGGTAGATCTGTCCAATCAAATATCCAGAAATGATCGTAGCAGAACGCGATACTAGATTTTCCATTCCATTTGAGGTCCGCAACAATAGGAGCTACCAAGGCCCAAATATTATCTTCTGTAAGCGCTTGCCCCAGAGATTCATCCACGTCCAACTACATGTTCTCGGGTCCATTCGCTGGCTTCCCACTCACAGCCACAATACAACCTGTTGGAAGCAGAAGAAAACACTTTAAAAGGGTTACCTCAGTTTGCATTGGTCCCATTTAAAACCCTCCTCAACTCAAAATTAAGCATAAAATCTTCCCCATTTTTCAAATCTCCCATGTTTCTACTGATGCCTTCCCTTATATCGATTGCCGTACTCTTCGGTCTTTCGAATCTCGTTTTTTCCATTCCTACATGCGAAGATTGTGAGGAATGGACGACACGCTCTGATAGTACCCCAGTGTACCTCATTACTGATTTCAACATGGCATGTTCAGAAGGACTCTTTCTCGATTGCACTAGTGAAGCGCCATACTCTATGACAATAAATTACACACCTCCTGATGCCAGCAATGAAGAGCAAGGTCCAGCGGTATATGATGCGTCGTGCTCTGGATTGACTGGCCTTACGACGGATTACTTGGCATGCGATGCTCCATATAGCTGGGTGACAACTGCAGTTGGGGATGATGGAGATGTGAAGGTAAGGATGGAATTCAAGGCGAACGGACATAGTTGGGATGGGAAAGGATCGTATTCCATAGATGGAGTTGAAGATTCTTTTCTGATAATGCCGGATTTGTCGAGGGATTGGATTTAACTTTAGCGATGTATGTTGAAAAGACTTCTTCGGTGGTTGAGACAACCTTTGGAAGTGGAGGAATTTGGGGAACTATATGCTTCAGAAGAATCGGCTTCGGCGCACTTAGAATTGATATACTCAGGTTTCAACTAATATGTTCGAACTTTGTCCTCCGCAGGATGGGGCTTCTTCAAGAACATTTACAATCGTAAGTCCGTGAAAGGATAATTTGTACGTGAACCAAGCTTCTTTCTTCGCACTTCATTCGAGAAATACGAATCAGTCTAGATGACCAGTTCATCTCAACATGTGATCGATTATCTCGTTCTAGATAGGACCTCATTCTTTTCTGAATGATGATCATATTCGCTCTGCCAATTAATGTTATATGCGACACAAACTGAGGCGCCTGGCAGGGATGTGATTGATGACTTCCTAGAAAAGCAACCTATCTGGCCGAGGCGGATCGAAGCATCCAAAAGCTCTCACATCATGGAAAGACATTTGAGTGTTTATTTTAAATATGCGCCAAAAAGGCGGCTATTCCTGCAATGATTATCTGTAGATCTTGGGCGCCTAGGACGTTGTTAGCTTCCCCATCTAGCCCACAGCAGAAAAAATAGCAAATCTAAATAACTGTTGTCTTCAATTGACTTAACATTCGCACCGCGAGGAGATCTGTGAAACAGAAGTTTAAGGCAAGATACCTCAACCACGAGCGACAAGGGACTCGAACCCTCAACCTTAGACTGGAAAGCTTCCCACTGATAGGAGGTCCACACGCTACCATTGCACCAATCACCCAATATTGCTATGCAGAGCGATTTGAATTTCAATAAATGGATCCAAGAATTTGTAGAGTGACATGTTACATATCTCGACAAATCCCACAATCACGTGCAATAGCCCTGGCTTACCTACGATTTGGCGTGCCATGTGAAATGCAAATGATTGGTCGATCTATCACCCCACGTTGATAATCCAGATTATGGTATTGGGTTGGTATCTCTATCTTTCTTATCATTCGGGGTACAACATTTTCATAACCCTACGAGGTTACATTGGAGTTATATATTCAATTTATAGTTCATCTATACCTTCTCGTCACTCTTTCTCTGAGTTGTAACTGAAATCTGCTTCTATATATCATTTACAGACTGTCAGTCGGCATCTGGCAAACCTTTGCGTCACCATTTTCAAATTTGGGAATCAAAATACTATATATCAGCAAATTTATATCCTTTCCTTATTCAAAACCTACTCAAGCTACATACCTCTTCATCATGGCATTCTCAATGCATAGCCATTCTGGACAATTTTGTCCTGGCCACGCAAAGGATACACTAGAACAAGTGATTCAAACGGCCATTTCCCGGGGCATGCAAACCTTTGCATTAACAGAGCACATGCCCCGGAACTCAAATTCTGACTTGTATCCTGAAGAAGTAATTTTTCAAACTCCTTCCACTTCATCCGTAATAATCTAACAAATCTAGGTCGAAGCCGGTGATGATATATCTCTGCTCATACCCAGACACGAAGCCTATCTGGTTGAAGCAACTCGTCTTCGCGAAAAATATAAGAATGAACTCAATATTCTTATAGGCTTTGAAGGAGAATGGATTCGATCGGATTATGGACCTTTGATCAAAGATCTTGCTTCGAATCCTCTCATTGATTTCTTCATTGGTTCGATACATCACGTGAATCAAATTCCTATTGATTATGACGCTGCATTCTATGCAAAAGCGATTGAGAAGTCAGGGGGCTCGGAGGAGAAATTATATGAGGATTATTTTGAGCAGCAGTATGAAATGTTGCAGACCTTGAAGCCGAAGGTGGTGGGTCATTTCGATTTGATTCGGTTATTGAGTGAGAAGCCGGATAGAGACTTGACTGGGTGGAAAGGAGTTTGGGATATGGTCTTGAGAAATTTGTTGGAGGTGGTGAAGTATGGAGGGTTATTGGAAATTAATACTAGTGCGTTGAGAAAAGGATTGAAGGAGCCGTATCCGGGAAGACAGATCTGTGAGGTATGTACTACACGCGTGGTGATACAATAGAGGAGATTTTGACAAAATTTTAGGCATACATACGATTTGGTGGCAAGTTCACGATGTCTGATGACAGTCATGGTATCGGGCATGTAGGAACAAATTTTGTTAAAGCGATAGAGTATATAGAATCTCTCGAGGTTGAAGAGCTTTATACGTTCGAGCGAACTACTCTAGTTGGATCAAATGCGATCAACCAAACTTTGAGTTTGAAGAGTGTACCTTTATCAAGTGTGAAGGGAACGTTCATCTCGGGTTGATTCGTAGTTTTTAGCCATTTTACATCATTCAAACCACGTTAGTATGACTCGCATGTTCTCAAGCATAATGTTATTATGTGAACGCAATACCTAGGACTAGGACATGGAGGATCCATAACGGAGAAGGGTACCATGGCATGAGGGATGGCCAATGAGGTGGAAATTTAGATGATCGTCTCCTGAATCTAGACACGTTTTCAATACATCACAATGATATCAACGGTTGATTTTGCAGGTACGACATATATCTAGTTATAGGCTTCTCCAGGCTTAAAGCGCTGTAGCAGATATGCAACAAAAGAATTTCAAGAGGCGGGATAAGCTCAACTGATTGGCTGATTAATGAGGAATGAACGAATTGAAAGTGTATGCAAGGGAGAAACAAAGAGTTTTAGCTGATTCATCATTTTTACCGACCAAGCTTTATACCTGCGTATAATTCGATTCGTCTCATTTGCTTCGTATAAATATAGCTGCAGTTACCTTACTTTCTTTCCGTTCAGCTCAATGTTGCATTATCATCTCATTGCCAAGATCTTTTTGTTGTTGTCATCGGGATTAAGTGCCATCTAATAACTGTCTTCTTTTCATTCTCTCGTCGATAATTCTGATGCTGTCAGTCAGTTTGCACTTGTATGTAACGCACAAGTCGACTATCCAGCAATTCATCACCCTTCCGCCCTACATCCATGGTTTACTGAAATCGCATCTCTTCCTGCAGTATTCTCTCGCAAAGCAGTTGCGCTTCCAAGTTACTTGCGTCTACACAAGAGCTCTTCAATTCGCTAGAGTAGTCAGGCACCCTGACTTCATCTTTTGAATTGAGAACCTACATTATTTCCAGGTGATAAAACTGTATAAAATTAGTGAACTCCCCATGGAGCCTATCGTGGTATATATATAAATACATCTGCCCAAGCAACAGCACTCATTCATTCCTTAAGAAACATGTATCCTCTGAACTAAGAGTATCATGGGAATCTTCTCCCTGAGACGGACTTCGGGTGATTTGCAACTTCATTCAGACTGATAGTCTGCTGTTAAAACTTCAGCTTTTAACCAACTCTTGCCGTAGATACCTTTGTGATCATTTCTCAGTCTTTCACTGCGGGTATTGTAAATTTGGTTACGTTTTTTTCTCGTCACCGTTTCTTTTCACTCGCTGTCTATGATTGTGCGAGTCTAGGCCTACAATGTTACTGCCATCTCATTCCATGATCTCACCATGCATATATTGATCTTGACGATGAATCTACTCCCTTGAGACGAAGTTTTTTTTTTTTCAAAGTAAAATACTACTGAGGACTGCCTCTTGATTCTACACCCAAAGTCCCTGAGTTCACCTCACTTCTATCTGCGAAAGCAAGTTGCTGGCCATGTATGTAATCAATGGGTATTTTCTCAATCCTTAAATAATCATCCAACTCTATGTAGAATCTAGAGAAACAAGATTCACATTTATTGAAATTCATCTGATGATTCACAACTATTGCGTGTCCACTTCACCAGAATCTCTTTGGTGAAAGCTAATCAGACAGCAAATCCATGCTATTGATATCTTGACTGCTATATTGCAATTCTGTCAGCTAATTATCAAAATACACTTCTTCAAAATCTGTATCTTTTCCACATCATTCACTGTTTCCAATACCTGCTCTTTAGATGGATTCTCGTTTCCTAGATACAAAACTATGGAATAGTGCCCCTCGAAGACTTTATACTAGAATCCTCAAGCTCGAACGAAAACACCCAAATGTTTGTCTTCCACCATCTTGAGAAGCAGAATATATTGACACTTACAAGAAATGGTTCGCGCAATCGAAACTATCCCAGATTCCTTCTACTCTACGACTTCTCTATCAATGAATTTCCATTACCATCAATACTCAATCGAATCGAATGTCATCGTCATATGTCCCTTCTCACTATCAGTAATAGAGACTAACACTGCCGCTATCACCAAATCATCGCCATCCCGAATACCGACATGTTTAAGATTTTGTTCTGTCAATTCCATCCCATTTTCCCATACCAAAAACTCCATCTCATTAGCGACAAGGCGCTCTCCTACTCTCAGATCGCATGCCAGAGCTTCTGTTTTGCCATTCCATGCCCTTTGACTTTGATTACACATGAAGTTTTTATACCCAAGAAACCCTAACGCATTTTATTCATGGAAGAATTCACTGCTCAACAAGGGCAAGACTAACTTAACAGTACATATCTCTCAAGGACTTTCCCTCATCTAAGGATCTCAAATTCCTCACTCGACAAAATATACAAGAAAGCTCCAGCGAACAAACATCCCAGTGTCATAGTATCAATAAGACTTCGACGTCGATGGAAAAGGAGTAGCATCCTCAGGTTACGCAAGCAAAGGATAAGGTATCTTGAAATGACCTCGATGATATTTAAATTTTCGTCTCTATACCTCCTTGAATTCACATAGCTATCTATCCATTACTTAAAAGACGATATTCATATCGACAACGCTAACGACACGACTACAATCACAATGATAATAATAACAATATCAACAACGACAACAACAACAACAATCTCCACCCCCAGCTTTGAAACGAAATATCACCAAAAAACCTTGAATACTCCATAACCCACACGCAGGCAGAAAACTGTTCGCCCACAAAAACTACCAGTAATCCTGAAGATCCAAGTTCCTGTTAGCGATGCATTCCTCAAGCCA